AAGGCCATCTCAAACGAGCCCAATGGCAGCGTATCCAAGGAGAAGGCCGGCTTTCCCATCTGCAATGCAGAGACTACCAATCCGGAGGAATGGCAGTTGGGCAACAACGTGACGCTCCAGTTCGCCAGCAGTGTTTTTATTTCCAACAACGATGACCGTTTGAGTAGCGCCCTGCTCCGCCTCTATAAGACCAATCCCGGCCAGAATCGCGACCAAAATCCCGGCCAGGTACCCGCTCAGCCGGTCAGCACGGAGACGCCAAACTGTGCGGAGCAGCCAGCCGTGGGTCCCCAGATCCGGGTCACCGTCTCCATTGTCCTCCAGCAGAGGAAGAAACGTAAGTTAGGTAGGCATCGTTAGAATATATAAATAAGTATTTACAAGCTATTAAGGAATTATATATATGAAGCCCTTTGGGAGATTAGCTTCTTTATAAATCAAACAGAAGATTAGTTGGTAATTCCGATAATAAAAAATATAAATTTGATTGTCTATATATATATTTTATATTGTATTATTTAACAACATATTTTTGCCTAAAAAGTGGTTAATCAACATATATTTTTTTTATAATCAATCTATATAAATTTCGTCTCTTTACCCACTTGCTTCCGTCAGCAAAATTAATTTATTTAATTAATAACACTGATAAGAAAAATGGAAAAGTAAAAATAAATATCTGACTATTGAATTCAAAATTGTATACTTAAAATTTAAATTAGAAATAAAATCATAATTTAATTAACAATGCGTATTAAATTGCATGAGTTAATATTAAATACTTTAATAAATGTTAAAAACATTAGATTTAAAATATAAATATAATAAATTGTTTTAACTTAGGATAACTTCTTCCGACCGCGTTATCTGATTTATATTCTGTTTTCGATTTACAGAGCGCAAGAAGCGCACCTGCAACACCGCGATGCTGAGCAGCTCCTCCACCGGCTGGGTTGAGATCGACGTAAAGTGCGCCCTCGCCTACTGGGAGCAGCAGCACCGACAGGAGCAACAGCACCGCCAGCAGCTCCGCCAACAGCAGCCGCTGCAGCCCCAGTTGACCTCCAGCGTGGTGGGGATTCTGATGATCGAGGTGCACGACGACGAGGAGAATCCGTTGAAGCCGGGGCTCTACTTCGAGCCACCCTCTTGCGATCAGGCAGGTAAGCGTGTTGTTTGCCATGTCTAACTAACTGGCCCAGGAACGGAGTGGAGGCGCCTCTCAGCCTCCCCACCAGTCACTCTCTATCTCACTATCTCACTTTCAATAAGTCCCATTCATCTCGATAGCGACAGGCCCCTTTCCCACCAACGCGGCGATTTGAATTTATTTACATTTTCGAAAAGGTCATTACTCAGGCGTTTTCGGAGGCCGGACAGCCGGCAGACGTAAATTGAGCCGACCGAAAATAAAAAATCGAAAAAAAATGTAATTTCAGACAGAATTCCAATATCAGTAGACATAATCCAACAAATACCTAGTCGTCTGATTGTGCAGTTAAGTCAGCAGAATCTAAGGCTCAATTTACAATTTGTACCAAGCACGTTTACGTTTCCCTTACGAAATGCTTCCGTCCGTATATTTGAAATTCATAAGGTTCGATGGCCAAAGTGGAGCGGAAGTAACGAAAATCCATTGATCTGTTTAGGATTTATTCATGTCTTGAAATATATTGCCCTGGAACGGTAAGATACAAACTCGCAGACGAAGAACTCAGTTCAAGGTGCTACTAATCGAAATTGCTCATACGCACCGTTGTGCGCAGTGCTCGGCTTTGTTTGTTGTTCAGTTCTTGCGCTTTTTGCTGCGCAAAATTCTTGTCGATGTTGTTGTTGCCGTTGCTATTTTGCATGCCCTTTCATTTGCGCGATTTCCAATTTGCATTGCATGACCTACCATAAATTGGAAGCAAATTTTAATGGTTTTTTTTTCGCAACGTGTGTTTTGCAGAGATTGCTGTCCCATGGAGCGTTTACCGAACAGAATCGTTTAAGTCTCATCTGGCGAGTTGGACATTGCCAAGGTAAGTGCCGTTTACGAATTCCCTTATTCGCATTTTTTTTAATTTTATACTTTCGATTTGAGTTTTGACCGCCCAAGCACTGCTTTAAGTAGCTGATCCTCCTTACTGCTTTACACTGCTTGCATATTGCATATATACTGCTTGTAGACTGCTTAGCTGAGCTCTGTAAAGCAAATGTAAAGTTCTTAAGTAAAGGGTGAAAATGATTTTCAAATATTTTAATACTGTTTATCATAGAAAATAGAAAAAAATTAAACAAATTTATTTAACACAATCGTCACTTCAAAAAAAATAAAGAAGTTTTAGCAATCTTTTTGTACCTCATAAAAGTTAATCAAGAATAACTTTTTCGTGAAACAATACATTACAAAAAAATATCTTAGATATCTTTTTACGTCACAGCCAATAAAAGAGCTAATTAATCACAATTTAACAACTTAAAAAAAAACTAAAAGTCCAGAGTATTTATATTATCATATGAGAAAATTTAAATTCAACAACTTACTCTTACAATTTTAGATCAGTTCATACATAAATAAAACTCGAAATATGCAAATCAATAGAACCTATCTTTAGTTTATTTATTATAACAAGTTAATTTTTATTTTCCACAGAAAACCAAGGTTAGACATTCTCTTCAACGGCAGCAACTCCATGAAGAGCAATTACAACACCCCCAAGAGCAGAACGTACATCGAATCCACCACATCCAACTCACCCACGATCGACAACCAGCTGGACGAGAGCGGCGAATACGAGAGCCAGCAGCGCGATCGCGTCCACCTGCACCACCGTCGCCACCACCACAGTCATCAATCGAATTCCGAGTCCGCACAGGTGGAGGCCGAAATCGAGGCTGAGGAACTGATGTCCTCGGCGAGCGACAGCGAACAGCAGATGGAGCCCGTCTCGAACCACCACCGACATCGGAGTGGCCACCACCATCATCCGCACCAGCTGCACCAGCATCACCACCATCAGCGCCACCACCCCAAGCACCATAAGACTCCCGCCCACAAGCAGGAATAGATGATCGGGAATCGTCCATCGACCCCTTAAACCTTCCCTCTCACCCACACTCATGCTGGTCTTATAATTATTTCTTGTTTTGTATTTGTAACTTTAGGGCCAGTTGACTTAATTAGTTTTTAGTTGATCGGTATATCGGTATCTCCTGCCGCGTAACCTTATTTAAATTATATTTTAAGTTGCGTTGTAAGATAAGTGCATAATTTCGGTCGAAATTCGATTTTAATTTTAAAATCTCTCTTATATTAGAAGTCTGTGATTTAGATGTGGTTAAATTCGCACATATTTTGCTACAAAAATTGTTAGAACCTCAAGAAGGAAAGCAAGCCCGGAAAACGTTTAATACAAATTTAAGTAACATATTTAGATGGTAAACTAAATTAATCAATGCCTTATCGAAGCATTACAATCCCAGACTTCTGCACAATCCACTCGAAAACCAGCAAGCCAAGGACGAACCAAATCGAGCACTTTCGATTCCATTGATAAGCGCTTATAGTCCCGGAATACAGTTTTGTTATATAAATAAGTCACTAGGTTAAAAGTGCCTTCCTGCTAGCAACGGAGCACCACGACGAGCAGCCCTAAATCTCAAAATTGACCCATTGGAACCCATTGTTCTGTTTTGTTTATAAGATTTTATAAGAACCGCATTTTCATTAAGTCAAACTGCTATCGATGCATAATCCTTCACCTCCATCCTAACTAAGTGAATCTGTGTAGTTTTGCAAGTATATGAATAAATCATAAAAAAATAAATATATTAATAAATATAAGTCTCAAACGTTTAAAGTTGCGAATTAAATATGAAGCGAGTTGACTACCGATTTACTTGAGTTATCCCCCTTTTGGATTAGATTGTAACACGAGGGGCTCGGCGATAAGATATGTTTCTTATTCTTATAAAATCCAACAAAACTGCGATTAGAAATCTTTTTCAACTTTGCACTTGACTATTTATGGCTCTCAGCGATTGGCCAATCAATTGTGACATTTTTGTAATCGCTGCTGCCTTCGACCAACAGTAACGATGCCCCAGACCTCTATCAATGGGCGGGTGTTCGACTTCAAATCGCCGTAGCCCAGTAAGTATACCTCCTCACTGCCGCAATCAGATTTCTCAAACGTCATCGCTATCGTTTGCAATCTGCGGAGAGGTTTATGGTCTCTGCTGGAAGTTATCTCGCACAAATATCGACATAGATCGCATGCCGAGCACCTATCATTTACAACAACCAGCTGATAAAACAGTGTATGTCATCCCAATTGGCTATTCAACGCTACACTGCCATGTAGCAGGTGTACTCTACTTAATTGCCGAGATATACAGAGAGAAAAAATAGAAGAACTTATGAAAAATGCTATTTAGTTACAGATAAGTAAATACTTAAGTTTTTAAAAGTGCATAGACCTAAAAAACTTGTCAAAGTATTTTAGTCTTTATTTTATAAATAAACCGAAGCTTTTATACATCACCTTAATGCATTCGGCTTTGTATTAAATTACAACATAATTTGTATAAAATGAGTTGTCACTGTTAAACTAATATTTGTTTGATAATTTCTTCTCTGTGTAGTTAAAGCAAATTAGCGCCTACCAAAATAAATCCCAGTGTTCGTTTTAAATCGAAACCAAATTGAGTTGGAGCTGTCAAGTACCCATTGCCAAGAATCATTTAAAGCAAATCGAAGTCAGCCTGAATATAAATTTGAAGAATTTAAAAGCATTTAAGGCAAACTTGAGGTTTGCCTAGCTCCCAACTGGTAGGATCTCTTTTAATCGGCAAGGCTAAATGATACCAAGATATTATAAATCAAAAGATAGGTTTCTAAAGCAAAAAACGAACTGTGCCGATCCAAACCTGATATGCCCTTATCAAATACCGTGTACTTGCGATCGTATTAAAAACGCCCTGTCGAAGTTTGGCGAATTTAGTATTGCCGAGAGTTTCAACGAGCTACGATGGCAGTTAGCCACAAATTTTAGTTACGCTTAGCAGATGCATTAATCAGTCATTTGTATTCGGCCAGTACGCACCGAGAGTAACGACATTGAAAACCCGTTTCGGCCACAACAAGCCGATAGTGCTCATTAGATACAAAGGGAAAACAAATAATACAAAAAGGTGAAATAACTGACTTTGCGCGAAAGCAAGGCGCTATAATTATTCAGACCGTTAAACACAAAGTGATTAATTCTGGTATTTACACAAAAGTAAAATCTGTTTGTTTTACTCAAGTTTCCGTTCAAATAAAAATATTTTGTGAACAAACAAGTGTGCTTTCGTGAAGAGTTACTTAAGTGCATGCAACACGGGATATATAAGCGTATTCTCGGAATTAGTCGATTATAATTAAGAGCTTTATTAACTTTCACGAGTTTGCTTAAATGCCACCCGATAGTGCTATCAGCATGGTTTCGATTACCTTCTATGAGAAATCCTAACCGAAAGACCTCCCAACGGGGATATATACTATACTGAATGGGATTTACAACCCGCAAATATCAGGAATAATGGTTGAACTGGTTTATTTACAACCGTTGCCTCAACGTTTTTCGTTTATTGACCGGAAATTTATTGAGTGTTGATCCACGTGCTAAAGTAAAGCCATTGACACTGGAAAACCAAGTGCCAAGTATAATATAAAACTGCAGCCCACGTGCGATATTTAGAAAACGGCTTTTCAAGACTTATCGATTTCTCTCAAGTGGGCATAAGTTGTCTAACTTGTCGAACCTTGATTTAGCTGGCCAAAAGAAAGCTATCTGTAGAATTTGACACTTCACATACATATCTGCCCACTCGATGGCTGAAATAATTTGATACAGATTATGGCAGATTACGATTACCGCAAGTGCAAATAACTAATTGTGGGGTTTTTTTTTATTGTAGATGTCAGCCGACTCACCGAAGGGAGCCATTAACAATGGCTACGAACTGGATCATGTAAGACATCTTATGAAATACAAATTATGGCATTTGGTTTAAATGGTATCAATTTTTCACAGAAAGAACTGGACATACACGACTCTGAGGAATTTAAGGAACTGCCGCTGGAAAATATTACAGAGGTCGCCAAAGGAAAAGGATATTTGGATAATAATCCGAAAGTTGCGCGTGTTGTGAGGATCTCGCTTTACATACTGTTGCACCTCGTTGTTGTGGGTTACTTTTCATATGCCACCTATCATTATCACGACATTAGTGAGTATTTCACCAATTAATCCTCATTTCCGGAGTTAATCTTGTGCCTTATTCAGCCAATTATGAATGTACCTGGGGAAGCACCAACAAGCTGTGTGGTATTAACTTCTGCACCGGTTATGGAATGCTCTTGCTCCTGCTGGGATTCATCTATTTGGGCCTCTTCTATTACTACATTTTCAAGCCAATGGTGGGACACAACCTGTACAGAGGCTGTATACGTCCCTGGTCCAAAAAGTGGCACAGTTTTAGCAGGACCAGGTAAGTTATCACTATTTTTCACTGTCATTTTTCCCTTTATCACAGTTCCATAGAAGAGAAAGTGACAGAATTTTATTTTGAAATTTGTATTTTAAAACAAACGCGAGACTGAAACTTTTTTAAAATATTGCGAAAGTAATTAAAAGTTTGAGAATGATTCGACAAAAAAAATAATACAAACATTTTTTTGTCTCAAATTATTTCAAATTTTATTTTGTAACATAAAAAGTTACTAAATGTGTGATAAAGTAGGATAAATTACGAGACCAAGTTGATCAAGCCATTGTTATAAAATATATGACAGAGTGAGACAAAATTAAGTTTATTCACTACAAAATAGAACCGAAAAATGTCCTGCTAAGGAAATAAATTCTTGACACTATTTTTATACCTTTCTAACTTCCAGAGTTGTCTCACTGGCCAGCATTGCATTGCTCCTGGCCCTTTTGGCCATCTTCGTGTACTTCGAGACCCGTGACGAGCCGCAGAAGTTGGTGTCCCTGGTGGCGCCCTGCTTTTTCATCCTGTGCGGCTACGTGTTCTCCACAAAGCGGAGCGCCATCAAGTGGCGCGTTGTGATCACCGGGATCACGTGCCAGTTCCTCCTCGGCATTTTCTGCATTCGCTGGGAGGTGGGCCGCAAGATCTTTGAGTGCTTGGGCAACAAGGTGGCCACGTTCCTGGGCTACGCCACCGATGGAGCGCTCTTCGTGTTCGGCGACTACCTAGTGAAAAACAATGTCTTCGCCTTCGCCATCCTCCCGGTGATCTTCTTCTTCAGCTTCTTCATCTCCGTCCTGTACTACTTGGGTACGATGCAGTGGATTGTGATCAAGCTGGGCTGGATCCTGCAGTCGATCCTGGGCACCACCGTCTGTGAGAGCGTCACGGCGGCGGCCAACATCTTCCTGGGCATGTCCGAGAGTCCTCTGCTCATCCGGCCGTACATCAATAAGCTGACCAAGAGCGAAATCCACAGCATCATGGTGTCCGGCTTTGCGACGGTTTCCGGAACTGTCCTGGCGGCCTATCTGTCCTTTGGCGCCTCGGCTGCCCACTTGATCACGTCCTCGGTGATGGCAGCTCCAGCCACACTGGCCATCTCCAAGCTCTACATGCCGGAGACGGAGGAGAGTCAGACCTCATCGGACTCGATTGAGCTGGAAAAATCGTAAGTATTTTGGATCAACAAAGCTTATTTACAAGGATATAGGAGCTTAGAAAGGAAACAATTATTAATGGGAAGGGCAAGGTTTTAAACTTTTTTTTCATTTATTTTTTTGCGTAGAAAAAAAAACCTCTTCGTGATTACCTTGAAAAATTCATCAGCTTCAAAATGCATATACATTTTTTTTTCTGATACGACCCATACGAACCCAACATTTTTTCAAGGCGACTCCAATGATTCACGGTCACCAAATTATTTTCCTTTAAAAGTTTTTTCTTTCATTCTCTAAAAGTTTTATAGTAATGTATAATTAAATTGAAGAAAAAAACAAATATTAATATATTAAATATTAAAAAGTATATAGCAATGTTTTGAGAAGGGCTTGGCCGGTTCAGCTCAATTTTTCTTCAGTTGTTACTGATTGCCAGAAGAAGGTTTCAACGAATGAATATGTTATTTGAGAAAAACTCTTGCTGAATAGGTTGTTTTTCATAAAATACTACGTTATGCAATTAAAGAAAACATATGTTCAAAGTTAAAAAAGCGAACCATAAACATCCAATTTTCTACATGTAGCCAGGACTCTTCCCTGTTGGATGCTGCGTCCAGTGGAGCCAGCAATGCCGTGCCAATTGTCCTTGGCATCATCGCCAACATAGTGGCCTTTGTGGCCTTCGTCACCTTCCTCAACGGGATTGTTAGCTGGTTCGGCTTCTTGGTGGGTCTGGACGACATTGACTTCGAGTGGATATTCTCCAAGCTGTTCATCCCGCTCGTCTGGGCGATGGGCGTTCCGACAGAAGACTGCGACGTCATTGCTAAGGTGGTGGCCACCAAGACCATAATCAACGAATTTGTGGCCTACGAGCGACTGGGTCAATATATCGAAAATAACGAAATCACCGTAAGTTCACTGCAATCACTCGATGCAATCACTTATGTGGAAACTAAAACGCATTGAACTATTGCAGGCCCGTAGCGCTGGAATCGCCACGTTCGCCATCTGCGGCTTCGCCAATCCCAGTTCCTTGGGCATCCTCATCGGATCCCTCAGTGCCATGGCGCCTCATCGTCGCTCCACCATCACTGCGGTGGCTTTCCGCGCCTTTGTGGTGGGCAGCATCGTCTGCTTCGTGTCAGCCAGTTTTGCTGGTTAGTAGATGGATTACTGAAATATTCAAGAATTATCATTGATTGTATTTATTTGTGTGTTCTTGTAGGCATCCTTATACAAGAAGAGGATGAGCGGGTGAGCTACAACAGGATATTCGAGAAATTGGGTCGGAAAAATGCCACGGAGTTTTAGTTCCTTGCAGTTTTAGATCGTGATAATTAGCTGATCAAATTAAGCAAAATACACAAATTCTTATTTATTAAATAAATATTTTTGATAAGACTATTACTATTTAGGCTTTGGGATGTGAGTCATACATAAGCACACATTTATATATTCATTCTGCTCTCATTTTACTCGAAATGGCTGAGCCGGCGCCTCCAGCCGAAGAACCGGAGGAGAAACCATCTCCATCAAAGGCAAAACAAATTACCTATATAGTCCTTCATGTCTTATTTCACACAATCTTCATATTGTATTTTATTGGAGCAACAGTCGTATTTGTTTTGTATGGTAAGTGTTTTGCACGCCCTAACAAATAAGAAATTACTTATCCAAGGGGGGTATAGACAAGGAATCCGATGATTGCGTGCCACCTGAGAGTCCCGCCACGGAAACGGTAGGAAACTCATCAGAACTAGAACCAGCGACCACAAATGAAAACTCAGCCGAATCCGAAGAGGAAGCGTTTACCCCAAAAATTCTGTGTAACATGAACTGGTGCCATGGATACGGATTTCTTCTCACCTTATTTGTTTTGTTTTATATATTGTGGCTTTACTACTGGGTGTTTAAGCCATTTGTGGGCATCAAACTGTATAACAATTACATAGAACCAGCCATTGACTTATGGATTAAGTTTAGTCGGACATGGTGAGTGATAACATGGTTGTTATACAATGAGGGAAAAACTGCCAAAAACCAATGGGTTATAGGCTTAAAAATATGGCTTTAAGGAGCAATCACTTAATTATTAGAACCACTTATAGAATGTTTTACCATAAAAACCTTAAAGATCGCCCAAAGACAAAGCAATTTAAAACAAATGAACAGATAGTTAAATATTGACTAAAATTATTGTTTATTGCCAAACTTGCCAAGTTTCTAATTTATTTATAACAACTTTGTAATTAGTTATGTTTCCCATTACTAGTAATACAGATTGTATATGTCCTGCATTATAATGCCTATGGCAAAGAAATAATCCAGGTTGTTATGCATTCTTTTTAGATTACTGAAGACTAAATAATGCATTCGTTATCCACTTTTTAAAGAACATTTTGGCCGTTGGAAAGAGTGCTTTATGAATTTGTTTTAAATAAAGATTAATTACAATTATAGGATCGTCTCTGGCGTGATGCTGGTAGTTGCGGTCTCAGTGGCGGTGGCCTACCTCGGTTACGAGTGTCGCTCCGACATCAACAAGGCGATCGGACTGCTGGGGCCCCTGTGTTTTATCCTGATCGGATTTGCAGCCTCCAAGCACCACAAGAGGGTGCCGTGGCGCATCGTGACGCATGGGCTCCTGGGCCAACTGCTTCTGGGGATTATCTGCCTGCGGGTCAACTTCGGCCAGGCTGCCTTCGAATGTCTCGGGGATAAGGTGACCAAATTTCTGGCCTACACCCAGGACGGAGCACGCTTCGTGTACGGAGATCGAATCTGCGATGAGTACGTCTTCGCCTTTGCCATACTGGCGGTGGTGTTCTTCTTCAGCGTGATGACCAGCATCATGTACTACCTGGGCTGGATGCAGTTCGTCCTGGGCATTTTCGGGTTTTTGCTGCAGGCCACGGTGGGCACCACCGTTTGCGAAAGCGTGAATGCGGCGGGCAATGTCTTTCTAAGCATGACCGAGAGTCCCCTGTTAGTCCGTCCGTACATCGCAATACTGACCATGAGCGAATTGCACACGATCTGCACCTCCGGCTATGCGTCAGTATCGGGATCCGTTTTTGGGGCTTACGTAAGCTTTGGCGCCTCGGCCGCCCTCCTGATCTCGGCCAGCGTGATGGCTGCTCCGGGTGCCCTGGCCTTTTCCAAGCTCTTCTACCCAGAGACTGAGGAGTCGCTGACCAGGTCCGATAACATTAAGCTGGAGAAATCGTAAGACTCGCATACTTTCTGTTAAGATCTCTTCTTTTTTAAATTTGAAACTCTGATCATCTGGTAAAGGCAGGATGACTCCATTTTGGATGCAGCAGCCGGTGGGGCCGCAGCGGCCCTGTTGATTGTGCTCGGAATCGTGGCGAACATAATTGCCTTCCTGGCCATTGTGTCCTTTCTTAACGCATTAACCGAGTGGACATTCGAGCTAATCGGGCTGCAGAACATCACGCTGCTTTACCTACTCTCCCAGATTTTTGTGCCAGTCGTGTTCGTGATGGGTGTTCCGTGGCACGACTGTCAAGAGATTGGGCAAATCGTGGCCGAGAAATCGCTGATCAATGAGTTTATCGCTTTTAAGCACCTTGGCGAGTTAACGAAGGAAGAAAAGGTCGATGTAGGTATCTATATTACTCCTATAAATTATAGATCCATTTACCAAATTACAGCCACGGAGTGCGGTAATTGCCACGTTTGCCATTTGCGGATTTGCCAACCCCGGATCACTGGGCATCCTCATCGCTGGACTTAGTGCAATGGCCCCAAGCCGACGACCAGACATTGCCAAAGTGGCCGTCCGAGCCTACTTTTCCGGCAGTTTCGTCAGCTTTACATCAGCATCCATTGCAGGTGTGTTTTCATATAGTTTTCAATTCGTCTGCATTATTCTAACGCAAGCATCGGCTTCTCTAGGTATTCTTATTTAGCATTATTTAATTCGCCGTCTTGACTTCAAAAGAACCATTAAGTTAGAGACTGCTTTGCAACATGTGGATGTGGATGTCCGATCTTAAATTATGAGTATAGAAAACAATGGATAACGCTAAGGTTTTGGTAAAATACTACTCAAGTTAGCCAAAACTTTTTTGAGGAGATCCGAATCGGTAGCATCAAAGTCCTCTCTGCCCTGGCTTAATTGAAGGGAGCCCTCATAAATGTCGAGTAGGATTTGCTTGATCGGTATTTCATTCCGCTTACGCTTCAGGCTAGAAACTAAGCACTTGTGCTCCGAGCTTCGTGTGTAGCTCAATTTACTGACATCAAATAAATCATCTCCTAATGAATCTACAGTTATGGGTTTCTGTCGCAAGGCCTGCAGTAGCAGCTGTACTTCAGCTTTGATTAAGTGGCGGGCACTAAATGCTTTTAGTTGGGCATCATCGCTGACTTTGCAACCGGCGATGAATCTTTGTCGGTGCCAGTTGGTGCATCCGCTGTCTGGAGATAGTCCCCGTAATATCAGCAACTGGGTGGATTTGGTAGCACTACCCAACAGTTTAAAATAGGCACTAGTGAAGGTCGTACTCTTTTCTAGGCTCATCAGTTGCTTGGCCATTTCTGATGTCCGCTGAAACCACTGGGAACAGTCGGTGTTTCTGTGTTTAACCAAAAGTTCTATAAGAGCAGTCTGTTGATAAGGCAGAGGTTACAATTTTTAGTACTAAAACATTACTCATACTAACCATTTCATAGTAGACCTCTACTTTTGTGGGGGCTGCAGATGAGACACAGTCTAAGCGCTTCAATAATTTTATTCCTATATGTTCGTCTTCAGTAATAACTGCCAAGAGGTGGCGAAAATTTCGAATGCTCAAGGCAGGAAGTTCCTGCTTCCCCAGACAGTGAAAATACTTCAGGAAACGCTGTACATGCCATTGGCTGGGATTTTGTGAAAACATGGAATAAGAATTGTTGCACTTATTCCAGAATTCCACAGCCTTTTCTATAGCACTGAGTGTCCAACATTTATTTTCCTCTTTCAAGCTAGAATATTATTGTATTAATCAAACAAAAGTTCGCCATAATATACCATTACTAACCGATAACACAGCATGAGTATATCAGCACACACTTGGGCTGTGATTATATCCTTTTGAAATATGCCAGCACAGAAATAGCTATGCAGTTCTCTGTTAGCCACCAAATAAAGAAGACTACCAAATGAATCCATTACTTGTTCGTAGCGCTCGGCATTAACAAAGTTGGTGGCATCTGTGGGATCAGCTAATCATATACAAAATCGACATTCATTAAGATGCCTTACCTTTAAACAAATATTCAAAGATTTTCTTAAGTGTCTGACAAGTATTTGGAAGGACAACCGCTTCGTCTGTGGATACAGCAGTTACAAAATCTATGCAAACCTCGAAGTAATCCTCTTCTGGTGGACCAAGAATACTGGATAGTAAATACTAGAGCATAAACTTGTGTGTTAAAAAAATATCTGATATATTGTTTCTATCTTACCTCTTGACATTCGTCGAATGAATAAACCAGCTCATACAGTTCCATTATATTTGGTCTCACATACGAAGATATAAGGTGTTGAATATCCTTGTCGGAATAATATGATGATGTACTAAAACAAAAATAGTCATAGCAAATGGTATTGATTTTGAACTAACTTACGCTTCCTCACACATGAATAGATCCATAAGACAAAGAGCTACATCCTGGTCAACGTGCGTTGCACCATTTCTGAAAATCTGCTGCAACATTAAGAAATAGGCCCTCACGACTTCCATAAACTCTTTTAACTTTTCCGCGGGAACAGTAAGTACATCCTGAAAATCAATTTTTATTTTTGCAAAGTTTATAAAAATTATGGCACAACTTACGTTTTCGTAAAGACCCTCCAAGTAACCGAGGACCATTTTGCATAGATGCAAAACCGTCTCCTTGAGCCATTGGGGCAATGGTTCGTCTTTGAGATTAACGCACGACATGTAGTGCACGCACATAAAAGTTATGGTCTCGCTTGTCTTCACAGGTAACTCTAAATCCTCAAGTGTTCTTCTTTCGAAATCTGCGATTTCAATTATCCTCTGCATCACTGAAAATTAAAAAAACAGAGAAGATAGGTTTAAGCTGTTTAACGAACATTAAAAACTGGGTATCCCACCGGTAAAACGAAATCAAATCCGTAACCGAAATATACTTTTTTTGGCCAACCGAAACCGTAACCGAAATATATATATAATCGAAATATTTATATTGGTTGAAACCATAACCGTAACCAATACCGATATATGATTCGGTTTTAATCCTTAGTTATAAATTAATTTAATTTGCACATCTTAATCGATTTCGATCAAAAGTTCGAACAGAATGCTCTTTTCTGGATATTAATACTTATGTCCAAAAGAGTACTGTAATCGAAACAGGTCTGATAAAAAGTCTTAAGAAGATACTTTCATAGTTTTTATAGTTTCCCAACTTACAGGGTGTGATGCGAGGGTGGAATGTTTTTGCTTCGGTGGTATTCTCTTTTAGCAGGGACAGCACTGCAAACTGAAGATCTGCAAGAAGCTGCTGCTCAGTTGCTTCGCTGGATAAAATGTATTATAAATACGGCGTCTCTTATATAGAGATTCATCTAAACAAAGCTTACCCTTCTCCAAGGATGAAGTCAATCATTGTTAATAGAAGATAGGCAAAGAACTGCACCATACGTTCGCCTGCTTTTAGCAAATGATTCCTGGATACGATTAAGAATGCAAGGGTCTCCTTGAAAAGTTTTTTTTGCTCGCTGTTAACTCCTTTGGAATTGTCTGACTCCTGGAATAAATCCAAAGTAAATTAAAGAGATCATAGTACGTGTGTGACATGACCTACAAGGTAAAACCACTGGCACATTTCCTTAACCGCTCGGAGGCAGCACACAGATTCCTCTAGATAAGCCTTTAATAGTTTACTGATCCACAAGGTCAAGACTTCTATACGATCGGCGGATTTGTTTGCGATACATGCATTAGAGATATTTACTGCCGAATCCACGTCTACTAGCAAGATGATATCCTCCTGGTCTATAGCCTGGAGCTCGCTGAAGGTTAGGGATACTACAGTCGGATTCTCAAATTCCTCAGACATTTTTGCTTTAATTGAAGAAGCTGGATACAAAAACCAATGTGTGTTTACAAAAAGATCGCGCCACTACAGCTAATAGAGATGAAAGAAACCAACGCCAAAACAGCTAATAGAGATGTAATAAGCCGTAATAAAGCAGCCGATAGTTCAGTTTTCATCAAATAACATTTTGTTGTGTTTGTAAATTTTATTTTATAAAAACGCAAACTTAAAAACCAAAATAATTTTCAATATTGCTTAATGCATTGTTTTATATAACAAAATTAATTGTATTTTTTTTTTGGAAATAAAAACTAAAACATATGTTTAAAATCATGCAATCGTAACAATCGTCAATCGATAGTTTTAAGTGCCATCAACAGTCGGCATTTTCCCATCACTAGCGCTCGCGCACGTTGTTTTCATACCTAACTTCGTTGTATTTTTATTTACCGAAATGCAACGGAAGGAGGTTAATCCCTTCCAGATCTTGGGCCTGCGTCCCTGGTTGGTGAAGCAGCTGACCAAGTTGGGTAATGTCTAGTCAGCCATTGTGTAAACCAAGCGTATAAACCTCATCCGCGTCTGTTTTTTAGGCCTGAAAGGAGCAACTCCCATCCAACAGAACTGCATTCCGGCCATATTGGCGGGTAAGGATTGCATCGGGGCAGCCAAGACGGGATCGGGCAAAACGTTTGCCTTCGCCCTGCCCATTCTGGAGCGGCTGAGCGAGGAGCCAGTGAGCCACTTCGCCCTGGTCCTGACGCCCACGCACGAGTTGGCCTACCAGATATCCGAGCAGTTTCTGGTGGCCGGACAGGCGATGGGGGTGCGCGTGTGCGTCGTCTCCGGCGGCACCGACCAGATGATCGAGAGCCAGAAGCTGATGCAGCGACCGCACATCGTGGTGGCCATGCCCGGGCGCTTGGCGGATCACCTCACCGGCTGTGACACCTTCTCCTTCGACAATCTCAAGTACCTGGTTGTGGACGAGGCGGATCGCATGCTGAACGGCGACTTCGACGAGAGCCTGGCCATCATCGAAAGGTGTCTGCCCAAGACGAGGCAGAACCTCTTCTTCTCCGCCACCATGAAGGACTTTATGAAGGAGTCCAGCATATTTCCCATTGCCAGCGATGTGAGTTTGTTTAGCATGCTAATGCGAGCTTGTGTTAAATGGCTTTCCTTTTTTCCGTGTTTAGTGCCTCGAGTGGTCGCAGGATTCCGATGTCGCTACGGTAGACACTCTGGATCAGCGTTATCTGCTGTGTGCCGACTACGATCGCGACATGGTTTTGATCGAGTCACTGAGAAAGTATCGCGAGGAGAACGAGAACGCCAATGTAATGATCTTCACCAACACAAAAAAGTAAGAGAAAGTTTATGTAAAAGACTTGCTAGATTTAGGCTTAATTTGTTAAAGTATATAAATCCAATTAAAACTATTTGCAGATACTGCCAGCTTCTTTCGATGACCCTAAAGAACATGGACATTGACAATGTTTGCCTGCATGGCTTCATGCGGCAGAAGGAGCGTGTAGCTGCCCTCAGTCGCTTCAAGTCCAACCACATTCGCACGCTGATTGCCACCGATGTGGCTGCCAGAGGGCTGGACATACCCAGTGTCCAGCTGGTTATGAATCACATGCTTCCCCGGACGCCCAAGGAGTACATCCATCGCGTGGGCAGGACAGCGAGGGCGGGGCGAAAGGGCATGTCCATCTCCATATTCCGCTTTCCGCGCGATCTGGAGCTCTTGGGCGCCATCGAGGAGGAGATCAACACAAAGCTAACCGAGCATCCCATCGATCGTAAGCTTCGAATACATTCAGTGATAAAGCTCTTTTTTAAATTCAAAATTAAACATTTTAGAACGCATGGTGGAGCGAATTTTCATGCAAGTGAACGTGACGCGCCGTGAGTCTGAAATGCTGTTGGACAACAACGATTTCGATGAACGGGCCCAGAACTACCGACGCAAAACGTGGATAATGGAGGGCAAGGATCCAGACCAAATGGAAGCGCTGTAAGCAGTGGAAATCGCTTCCTTCTCAACGTTTTCCTAACTCATTTCAATTTTAACTGCAGCTATCGCAAAAAGCAGAAGGATAAACTGAAGGAGATACGTCGGAAAAGGAAACTGCAGCAGGAAGAGTCAGCGGCTAGCGGAGAGGGCAAGGCTCTGCTTCAGGATGACCGCTTCAAGTCTGTGGACAGCGCTCGATTCGAGAAAAAAGGAAAGGGTCGGAGTCGAGCCCCCAAGGAGGTTGCCGAAAAGAAACCATTAAAAAGGCTCAGCAAAGGAAAGCCGGCCCAAGCCCAGAGGAGCAAACAAACTATCCAAAAATCAAAAGGAAAGCTCAAACGTGATGTTTAAATATATGTTTATATAATAACAAAATAACTTTTGAGCTTACACTGCTAAGTAGTTGCAAAATGCATACTTAAATAATTTCAAAAATTCAGACATGCTAGGGCTAGATAACCAGGCACTTGGGACGCATCACTGGATTCAGTCTAAAGCGATTGTCAGAAGGGCATCCTCGGGATGGACCTCCAGCAAAGCTTTGGCGCCATCGTTGAAGGGGTACGAAATGCTGCCATCTATTACAAGGTCTGTGGAAAAGCAGTTTTATATCTTGTTTCGTGTCTGGACTCTTAGTTACTCACTGGCATCGATGCAATGCGACTTGACGAACACAGTCTGCACAAAATCGCGCTCCTTGAAGGTCTTTGGCGAGGGCCACACGCCCACACAGATCTGCTCCCGGATGGAGTAGCAGAGACGCGGGTCGTCCGGCGCAAAGAGCAGCCCCTGGTTGTACCGCTGGGCGATCTCCTCCGCCTTCTGGCGCAGCATCATCACGTCCTTCGAACCACTATTGGGCAGCGAGCGCAGCAGATCGTCCACATCCCGACTGGTAATGCGATTGATGCTGGTGTGCCAGGATGTTGAGCCGGTGCCCGTGCTGACACACAGGCCGGAACACTTGGTCTTGTTCACCACTTCCTGGTGGTCCAGCACCAGCTGCAAGTGGGACACTCGGGCTGAGAGGTGTTCCCCGATAAATACCTGTGGAGGTGAAATATGGTGTTAGCTATAGTCTCGCAAACAGTAGTTTGTGGCCAAACCTCGTTGAGAGCCAAGTACGGTAGGATGCGTTTCATTTTGGCCTTGTACTTGAAGGCCATGTCCCGGTCCAGCATTTCGGGTGCAGTGGTCACCTGCTCCATCTTGACCTCTGTGTGCCGAAAGAGGTCTGTCGACTCCGGGATCTTGCCGTTGCTGCCCAGCATCGTAGTCCGCACCCTCGAGCGGTGCATCCACTTGAAGTCGCCCTGACAAGAGATGAGACATTTGTTGAATATATCCATATATCCAAATGTTTTACAGGACTTACGCTCTTGATGCGGGACACGGCATCGGCGGGATTATCCGAATAGTGCTTGGGCAGCATGAGTCGACCCTCCGAGCGGAGCGGATCCGAGTTAAAGCCCACGATTGGCGTCTTCTGCTGGCTGAGCGCGAACAGCGGACTGGCGCGTCCGGCGGACAGAAGGAAGGTACCGTCGCCACCCACCGGCACGATGACGTCCGCCCAGCTCATGACGTCCTTGCTCAACGAGCTTCTAAATTCAAGTCTGCTCGTTTAGTAAAGTCAACACACATGGCAAGGCGAGGGGCCGCATGGGAGACACGAAGTGTGTGATGGTGGAGATCAATTGTAGCGGGTAGTAGTCACGAATCGAAGATACATATAAAGTATAGTATGTGACGAGGTGACGAGACACACAGCACAACATCGGGAGCAGTGGTTGAAGGTCTTTAGGTGGGTGTTATTGGGTGCAAACGTTTATTGAATTACCTAAGAATTAAGTTAAGCAAAAAGAAGATCTTTTGTCGAGTACCACAAACAAATACTCTCCTATAAGATGGCAATAAAGGTGTGACGCCATCTGGCGGTCAGGTTTATTTACCAACTGGTCAATAAACTTCATTTCTTAATAACTCCTTAAATAATTGTTTGATTTCAAAAATTGTTGGTGTATTGATAGATGTTGATTGTAAACATTTTTATACCATGTATCTAGATGTTTCCGATTTGTAAGCGTTGTAGTAGGCGTATTAGGTTTAACAAAAAATTGTGATGCAATGTAATCATGTAATTTCGAAATTAATTACATGAGCACAAGATCAACTCGCCTATTGATACTAATCAAGAATAAATATATTTTTTATGGTTGAAATCAGTCTTCTACCTGTGATATACCCTTTTACTCTATCAAAATATTAATGGTAATTCCTAAAAATATATTAGGGAAAGAACCTATATTGTATGTATATGCAATACCTATGTATGTATGTACCAATAACCTCATCCACGTAAAGAACCATTTCAATCACTTAATGTGAGGACGAAGTGGAACTGGATGTACACACCTGCTGGACAGCTTCACCTCGCAGCCCACATCCTGGAAGCTCTGGACGACCCGGCGCTCGAAATCCTTGTGAACCTTGTGAAGGTAGAGGACCATCTCCACGTCGGTTCCCCGGTCGCGTAGCTTCTGCTGCAGCTGATCCGGCGATAGTTCCGGATGACGCAGTTGCTCGAACTCATAGCGGGACAACTTGGTGACTATCAGAGCCCGCTTTAGCTTGAAATTGGTCGGCGTAAGCTTGGCGTATTCTGTAAAATGAGAAGATGTGAAAGGTTGACCACGATATTCCAATCTTTGGGGTGCCCCACTGGCAGGAAAATTTACTTAATTCCTTTGGTAAAATCGACCTGCCACTTACGAGCATTCTGCGCCCGAAAAGCAAAACCCAACAAACCGATTTCGCTGGGAATCTCCCAGAACAGCTGATTAGCAACACAGTCGTCTACGAAAGTATTGCCTCACTATAAATTTTAATTACAAATTTTTTAAAAAAGCTTTATATTTTGACATGTTTTTATATTTATTTTATTTGTATCCAAAATTTGTTGTTTGCAGGAAAAGCTAATCCACCACGCATATGTTAATATGTATGTACATTTATTATCTTCGTTAGCGGATAGAAATTTTCATTATAAAGATAATCCAATCACTTCGTAATATAAATATTTAATACAAGATATTTATGTTAGGGGTGACAGTTTTTTGTTGGTTAATTATAAAAAAACCGAATAGTAAGATATTTTAACGTTACTACGTGAAAAACTTATATTATGGAATTCAAAAAATTCATATACATAAATAGGTTATTCTGTCTACTGATTAGTGGCAATTACTCAAAAAATTTAATTATATTTCATAAAATTTCAAGGTTTTTTTATAACTGCATTCTAATGTTATTTTTTTTGAATATCCATTCTATATCACGATACTTCTGCTCACCAGTGTGCCAAAGAAAAGTTCACCATGACAAAGAATTTGGCAAAAAAAAGTGTTTACTGATAATCTTCGGCTTGGTTAGAGTCAGATGCGATTAAGGTCTGTCAAGGCGAGCCTACGCGGTGGTGATATAGTATTATGTTTATTCCAGCACATGCCAAAAGCTGATAATAAAGGCGGCAACGAAAACACAGATAGCTGATGTGTGTAATATAACTGAAATTGCGCCATTTCAGCTCCAAAAACCGAGTGATGATCCTTACCTTTGGAAAACTGCTGGAGCAACTGCTTCGATTTCAACATGCTGGGTACTGGCGAGGACGAACAACGAACATTTAGGGTTCTGATTTAAGTTTATTGTCTATTATTATTTGCGGGTTTATGAGTTTGGTACCGCTACAAAACTAGGATGTACAAGTTACTAAATGAAAAGAATCAATGGCTCTTTGTTTAGTTGGCTGCCTCCGTCGGCATTTGACCAACAAAAAATTAACAAATTAGGTGGCCGTTCTACATTCGACAAGGCACAACACATAGGTTGGGTTTGGGTTGATATTTAGCACTATCCGGAGTTACGATCACTGCTCACTATCTCGCTATCCGTTCCCACTGATCATTTTCACGTCGCACTCCGGCTGTTTGGCTGATTAACTGATTGGATTACTACTCTATTCCTCTGCGGCACTTCGCTTATGTATAAAAATTCGCCTTCGCTGTAAATTTATCGCCGTTTGTTTCTATTTTCGTCCGCTTTCGCTTCTCACATCTCGCCCGTCCGTGTGTGCTTCTTGTTGTGCATTGCTGATAAGCGGCCCAGCCTGTTCTTATCAGCCGAAATATGTATTGTATATAAAAAAACCTCCGTCGTCGTCGTCGTCGTCGTCGTCTATTCACTCGCTGCCATTCACTGAACCTCACCGAAATCTTCTTCTTGCTCTGCACAACAATAACAATTCGCACAGAAAGTGCCCGCCAATCCCAACTAATTCGAATTTGAACATCGTGATGTTGGTTCTTAAAAAATAACTTAATACAGATTGGATGACTAGTTGAAGCGCTGCTGCTGGTACTGCCCGACCAATCCTGGCATATCGTCACTTTGGGGATCTTCTACCGGTCCGTTCATCCAGTCGATGTTCTAGAAAAATCAAATTATTATTGCAGATTAATAAAGCTGGCCTTAAAAAGAATAAATTTTTAATAACAAATCGGGTAATACTTAAATGACTTTGGGTTTTCTAATTTGATGTTTTGTTTAATAGAGGGTATTAAGGGTAAGGCCATTTCAGTCATAAGCTCGCAACGCAGTGAAGGGGACATATTTGACCCTATAAAGTACATATATTCTTAATCAGCACCAAGATCCAGGCAGCATAAAAATTTTATAAAAGTTGTCTTTCTAGTATTTGAAGAGGAATGAGCCGGATAAAACGACCAGCTCTTACGGAAACAATCGGAAAACCAAATTAAAAAAAATTATAATTTAAAGTTTTGTGAATATTTTTCAAGACATAGTGATAATCTTTCAGAAAAACAGACGGCTATATCATATAGATGCAATAAATTTTGACTTGTCGAAGATTGCTTTCATTCTTGTTGGTTAATCATTTTTAAAACTAGGCAGCTCCTATTTATATGTAATTTGCTCAATCTGAGGACCTAAGAACACCCATGCTTACTTCCTTTGCAAGTTACTCTTAATTTAAAATTAATATGTGAAAGCGGCTGTGTTTCTTAACTAATTTTAATAAATAAGCTTAGGTCTGTAGTTTCCCTTGTTCTACACTCCCATGTTACATAAAAAATACGCAAAATTAAAGCCGAACTACATAAAATGTTTCCATTACCTGCAAAAAGTCAGTTGATGCACCTTGCTCGGTCCTCTGAGCGACGCTCTTGAGCAAGAGTAGCACGTTATGGGCCATTTTACTGACTTTCATGCTCTCGGAATCGTTGGTGGTGTCCAAGCTCGGCTCCTGAAGATAGTAATCCTGTGCTCCACTGCCAAATTTGTCGTTCAATGGGGTAATGTGCGAACTCAAGCCCACACGATTATTGACACGATTATCCGGGATATTGGAGACCGAATCGATCAGGGAGTTGATTGAACTGGAGCCGGTCCAGTCGTTGGGCTCGAATCCCCTCATGTTGGTGCTGGTGAGCAGGTCACTGGGGCCCTGTTGAGGATACTGGAAATGATTGTTTATGTTCGTTAATACGTCGCCTGGATGTATGGCTTGGCTGGTTGTTGTCTGGCTGCTGAAGGCGTTGTAGGCGGTACGCATGCGGTGCTCCATGTCGCTCTGCGCCTGCTGCTGTCCGCGGTGAAAGTTGTTGCGATGTTGTGAGTTGTTAAAATGGCGCCCCTGGTTATTATTGTTTCGAAAACGTGATCCATTTCTCAGATCCAGACGCGACTTGACACTGCCACGTGCCGGTTCATTGGGCACCAGAGAAGGTGCTCCCGCTGGCCGGTTCAAGTTGTTGCCGTAAGTGTGCCACTGGGCAGAGCCTTGCGAGAGTTCCGGATTCGGCAAACCCGCCTCCTCCCAGTACATCTTATTGAAGTCGTTCATCTCAAAGTTGAGATTGGCATTGCTGGCGCCTTCCTCCTGGTAGTTCCTCTCCAGCTCGGCGCCCATGATATCCTCGTCCTCATCCTCGTCGTCGTCATCTTGGCCCACCTCCCTGTAAGACCTCAGGTGCCCGGCCTGGCGTCTGTTTTTCTTTGGAATGGGATTACTGGAGTAACGGGGCGGAACTATTGGTTTTGGTATTACACACTGTTGGTAGTACTCGTCTGTTGGAACGAAAATTAAGGTTTCTCAAAGGGGAACGAAATGGTAAAGTTACCAACACTCACCCAATGGCAGCATGGCTGCGGACGCATTGAAATCCGTCATTTTGCGTTAACCCGCCTGCAATTTGGTCTAAAATATAGAAAATACTTAACAAAAAAGCTCGTGCGCGTCGGGTCAAAAATAAACAGTTAGAACCTTCGCGCCTAGAGGTGGAAGCCTAGTGACCGACGCAAATTTGAGACACATCTTGTGCAACCGCAATAGTCATGAAAAATACTAAATTTAGTATTTATTGGGGAAAGACGGTTTTTTTCTGTTACGTATTTATGGTCACACTTAAAATTTATAACCATATATATTTGCAAGAATAAGAAAAATAAACAATTTTTCCAAGTCTTTTATTGTAAACTTTTTTAATAACTACAACTAAGTAATCATGTCGGCCGATGTGCGCGATATTCTGGACATGGAGCGTGCCAACACGCCTGAAGTGACGAGGGATTCGTTTCTGGCCACCAAGAAGCGGAATTTCGAGCGGTAAACAAATGCATTCACATGGGTAGTGTTTATTTTAAATTGTTTGAATTGTTTACTATGGCAGGACCAAGACTGCATCCCGTCGACCGGAGGGAATGCATCGGGAGGTGTTCGCCCTGCTCTACACAGACAAAAAGGATGCTCCGCCGCTCCTGCCGACGGACACGGCACTGGGCATTGGAGCCGGCTACAAGCAGACGAAGGCGCGTCTGGGGATGAAGAAGGTTCGCAAGTGGGAGTGGGCTCCATTCTCGAATCCGGCGCGCAACGATGCCGCTGTCTTTCACCACTGGAAACGGGTCACCGACGACTCCACCGACTATCCCTTCGCCAAGTTCAACAAACAGCTGGAGGTGCCCTCCTACACCATGACGGAGTACAATGCGCACCTGCGAAACAACATCAACAACTGGAGCAAGGTGCAGACAGATCACCTGTTCGATCTGGCCAGACGGTAGGCTTCGCACTCTCAACTTATGGACACTGTTCTTATGTACTATGGTTTTCAGTTTCGACCTCCGTTTCATTGTGATGGCGGATCGGTGGAACCGGCAGCAGCATGGCGCCAAGACCGTGGAGGAGCTGAAGGAGCGCTACTACGAGGTGGTGGCCCTGCTCGCCAAAGCCAAGAATCAGACCAGCGAGAAGAAAGTATTCGTCTATGATGCCGAGCACGAGCGGCGGCGCAAGGAGCAGCTCGAAAAGCTGTTCAAACGCACCACCCAGCAGGTCGAGGAGGAGCAGATGCTGATCAACGAGATGAAGAAAATCGAGGCCCGTAAGAAGGAGCGCGAGCGCAAGACACAGGACCTGCAAAAGCTCATCTCACAGGCAGATCAGCAGAACGAACACGCCTCCAACACGCCCAGCACCCGGAAGTACGAAAAGAAACTGCACAAGAAGAAGGTACACCATCAGCCGCGACCCTCCAAGGTGGACTCGGTGGTGAACGCAATAGAGATAGGCAGCAGCGGCATCAAGTTCGCTGACCTGCGCGGTTCCGGCGTTTCGCTGCGTTCGCAAAAAATGAAGCTGCCGGCGAACATTGGCCAGCGCAAGGTAAAGGCCCTCGAGCAGGCCATCCAGGAGTTCAAAGTTGGTGAGTCGTTGCGTTAGTAGACATTCGCCAGCCGGCGCTAATTGGCTTGTTCTTTGAAGATCCCGCTCCGCCGCCGACGGAGGACATATGCATCTCCTTCAACGAGCTGCGTTCCGATATGGTTTTGCTCTGCGAGCTGCGCACAGCCCTGTCCACCTGCGTCTACGAGATGGAGAGCCTGAAACACCAGTACGAGGCCGCCTGTCCCGGCAAGGTAAGTCGCCAGACCAAAGAAAACGCTTCCGAACCAAGGTGGCTAATTGGCTTTCCTTCAATCCATTCAAACCATGCAGACGCTGAACATCCCGCCCTCACTGGTGCCCATCAAGACCGAAGCTCTGGACAATAGCACAAATTAATTAAGTTAACGCGGCCCGTTTCCACTACTGCAGATTCTCCAGACGCCGACGTGTGTGCGGCGTGCTAATCATTGTAACCCGTTTTCCAGTGTCCATATTTGTGCATTTGCGCTACTCCCAGTCCGCATGGGGAAATAAATGGATAAACAAGAAAATTGTTTTGCGGCACACTCAATGTGAAAATCAAATAGCCCACGGCCAACGTTGGCCAACCAGGCAGATGCCATGTCGAGTGTGAGAACCATTTCCCAGTGCTTGATTTATTTTCCAGCTATCCATGCTCGCCTAGTGGCTAGTATTTGGGTTAGGCTAGCATCAGCAGCAGCAATGGCAGCAGAAGCGGCCCGGTATGCGATCTTTGGCGAGCCGAAAAAAGAGAATCGAGCCATGTTCAATTGGTTGCCTGGTTGCCTGCCTGCCTGCCTGCCTGCCCACACAATTCGGATATAGATGCAGAGGCGGAGGCGGCGGCCCATTCATCGGACCAGTATTTGTGAATGAACCGACGACTGCGAAGGCAAACACAAACAAACAAACGAGAAGCGGAGAGGAAAACGCATATGAAATCATTCTGTTGGCGGCTCGACCTGCCTTACCTGAGCGTAGGCCGCTCAGTCGAGTTTCAGACGTGGTCGCGTTCAGTTCGTGGCTGTTTACTGCGCTTACAATTGCTCTGTGTCTGTCTCTGTGTCTGTGTTTCCCGCCCCACTGCCGCATGCAGTCGTCTCGGTGAAAATGCAAATTTGCCCAAGTACCAAATACTAAATACTCGAACGGTTGTCGTCGGTCGGTGGAATTGGCCGCACATCGCTACCTGGCCTCGTCATCATCATCATCCCTCCGAAACTCTGGGAATCCTGGCGGGGGGCACAAAGCAAACAGCGCATCCGTTTCCGGTTCTTTCTGCTGATTGTTGTTGCAGTCAGTCGGTCGCTGGTTTTTCATGAATGAAATTTGTAATTCCGTGTGAGTGTGCGCGCGAGTGTGTGTGTGTGAGCCGCAGGTCCCGTCCAGTTTGAGCCCGAACTCCAGCGGTGTCAACTGACGGCCCAGCAATCGCATTGTCGTCAGTGCACCGTAAAGATCTTTATCGCATTTTAAACACAAACGTTCTGGAGCAGAAGGCATCGTCGTCACCGTCGTCATCGTCGTCGTCAGGTAGACGGAAACCAAACATCGGGCCCGGCCAGGTTAATGCGGTTTATTGTTCTATGAGCGAGCGCTCTGGCACCGCTCTGTTTAAGTTTCGCACGCTGATAAAGAGGACCTCGCCCAGCCATCGATATGTGGCCAAAGCTCAGGTGAGTGGTCGTCTATGGGTTAATTTGATGGCAAATAAACATTCATGTCGCTCTGAATAGAAGACGCCCACCGCGAATTGTGGAATTCGCCACTCTTTCACTTTACACTCATTCCGCGTGTGTGGCAGAAATTAGCACCTTTTAATCTAATTATGGCGGCGGCGGTATCGAAGGCAACCTAATCGTAGCCACTGCCCGCGGCTCTAAATAATGAACTCGTATTAAAATCCAAAGTCATAATGATTTCAATCAGCTCCAAGTCATTTAACGTCGCCCAACGCACGGCACTTCCGTTGTTGTGTGTGCCTCTCAAGTTTCGTATAATTTCACGGGCTAATGTTTTCCCAATTCAAGCAAAGGGAGGAAGCCCACGCTTTTCGAGGGCTAGACAATCTAGACAATCAAAGAAACCCACACACGGAGGCGGCACCACTGTCGTTCCCGCTCAGTTTACGCGCAATTAGCGCTTTGTTGTTGCTTCTCCAACCTCTTCTAATTTCATATAACTCATCATTTTCACAGCGGGCAGGTTTGGATCTTCGGGCTCAACTTACGGCGACAATGGAAGACGAAAAGTTGGGGAAAAGACTTTTTATTTACATTTTACGTTTTCGAACGCCCACAATAACAATGAAAGCGGAGAAAAAAGATTGCTCATAATTAATGTTTATATAATTTTTTTACTGCTTTACATGCGGCTCATTAGCCGCCTGGCTTGGATTTCCAAATCCCCCACTCGGATGTTTCTGTTCTTCTTGGCCTGCGACGGCAGGTTCGTTGCCTAAGTCTTTTGTTGTGCGCCAGCCGTGGGCGTCCGCCCGATGCGGGACAGCAACAAATACAACAAATACAAGCAGAAAAGATATAAAATAAGAGACATTTGTGCTACTTACTTGCCGCTCGCTGGCGTTGCTCCACAACCAGTTGCCAAATTTGGCAATGGGAGCGCAACAACAGCTGCCTGCTGACTACTGCGTGCTGCCCACTTACTTTTTTGTGCTCAAAGTGTGTCGCTGTCATCCGACGATCCAATGAGCTAATGTTTTCTGGGTTTTGGGTAACCCTTGGTAAAGAAGTAAAAGATGAGGCTTCGCTGACTGAGTAACTGAACAACTGACCAAGTCTTAGGGAATGGCTATGGGGAGTACTAAGGTTCCTCCAGTTTCTGGCAGTGCATGCATAACTTACACACAGCCACTCACTTAGCATACTCCTCCGCAGCATCCGAGCAATTTCTTGCCACACAACTTTGGTCTGTCTGGCATTTGCATTCGTGTGTGGGCAGCCAACTCTTGGTGTGGGCTAGACCAAGATCTCTTGTGGCTGCTATCTGCCAACTGATGTCGCATAATATCTTTAATTTAGTTTATTTTCAAGCCCATTTCCGTGCCCCAACACGCGGCTTTCTTCTGGTTTCATATTTTCCCCAAAACATCATTGATTTTTCCAATCTCGCGAACAGAGATATTTCCATTTTATTGACTGTCTGCGTCTGTGCGTTTTGCCGCGACTTGTCTCCGCTTTCGAAATGTCGCAATTAACAGTCGATTTAGCATTATGCACATGCGTTGGCGGCCACCTCGTGTCTCAACTGGATTTCTGAGTTTGCGTGGGCTGTGAACTTGGCTTTAAGGTTTATTGAGTGCTCTGGCGAGAAGGTGTTCGGGGAGGATATGGAGGGATATTTTGTGAGCCCATATATTTCATATGCGATTTTGGTGCTTTACTTCCAAGGAATATCATTTGGAGCCTAATAATTTCTTCCTGTCTTCGCGTATATAGATATAGTCTCGTTCGTTTCTCCTTTGCCTTTTGTTATGATGTTTACTATATAGTTTGCCGGTCGTTAATGTTTCACGTCAAGAACATATAAATACTTTTATGAGCATTAAATAAATGACCCAAAGGCAAGTGAAATGAGCTGCAGGAGCGACCGGACCAGAACCCAAACAATGTCCATAAATTTCGAGCTCAAATTGCTTTTAGTTGTTTGCAGCGGCTGCCGTCGGCCATATTCATATGCAAATGGCGTACAAAAAAAAAAAAAAAAAAGGCACACTTTGATTTTGAAAACGTTTCGGCTCAAAACGACGGCAACGAAAAAACCAATTTAATTTAAATTAAACACAGCCTGGTCCAAGTTCATTCATGTTCACGTTCAGACGGAGGCTGAGGCCCATAAAGTGCAAGATTTGTTAAATAAAATGAAAATGCAAGCGGACAAAACCCGGCTTAGGCCATTCCGTCGAATGGTTTGTTTACCTTGCCCCAGGGGAAATCGCTTCCAAGCGGATCGGATCAGAAACAGCCAACTGTTCTTCCCTCGGTCGCAGACTACTTATTTTATTTTGTTTTATTTCACATATTGGCCTCATCCCCAGCCGATCCAACAAAGGAAACCACCAGAGACGGGGGCTTCGACTTGCAGCGATTGCTGTCACTTATTGGTTACTTTGTTTGCGATTTGGTTAATTGTTCGAGTGTCGGTACTTGGCCGAGCAGCTGCCCACGTGTGTGTTCAATTAAAAAGTAATTTGCCCAGCACAACAAAGGCAAAAACAGTTAAAAAAAAAAAAAAAACGTAAAAAACCAAAACCAAAACCAAAGCGTTGCGGAGCAGAGTCGACAGCCAGCCACCCACACGTTTCCGTTGACTTGTCGTCGGCCCACTCTTAAAAATAATACTCACTAATTTTATTTCTCGGATTTGTTGCTGTTGTTTGCCCCTCTGTTGTTTGTCGTTTACAGCCGAAACAAGTTTGTCAGACCTGTGATTTGCAGTTCGCTTTGACAATATTACCAGCTATTTGAGACAGATGTTGCCGAAAGAAAATTTAGATTTAAAGGCAATAGGATATCACTATACAACTTTTACGTATCAAAATCTGGGTATTTTAATGAATATGAATATTTAAAAAACTTTAAGCACCAATAATAATAATAATTAATAAATATTTAGGCAACGAATTGGTCCCTATTATTATATTAAAATATTAAGGAATGTTTTAAAATAGTCTCCAAATCATATTTCAAACTATCATCCTTAGTACGGTTAGCTTAATATAAAAATCAGTATAAATAAATTGACTATATAAGATTATAATCCGACAGCTTTTGCCACCGTTTCAATATGTTGAATTGGCTGTCAAACCAAACCAGAAAGCTTGATAAAAAAAAGCAGTCATACATGCATTGAACCAAAATAGTGAAATATGGGAATTTAATATTTAAGATCCTTTTCCGAAGGCCAGCAGACGCTTCCGTCTTAGCAGAGAGACGATTGAATGAGTCCAGTCATTCACGCATTGGAATGCTGAGAGTCCAAAAGGGGAAGGGATTTCCGAACGGAGGAACAGGATAGGCATCACAATTAAATCCCTTTTGGCGGCTTCTCCACACAAGTTGTGTTCCCTGCTTCCTGTCCCCGGTTTCTACTCATTTTTCTTTTTTTCAGCATGCTAAATACCCAGGCAGACCGCAATGGTATTGAAGTTGGTGTGGCTACTTCGGTTTCGAAAGCAGCTGTTTCGGATTTCCACTTTTTATTTTATTCCTTTTTTTGTTTTTTGGTTTTTGTGTGCCGCACGTCTGTGGTTGCCTCTTTGCGTGACATTTCGACCTTTGGCTGGCTTTTGCAGCAACTTTTACTATTTTCATGCTAGGCATAAATTTCATTTGCCTCACAGCCACACACACACAAGTTCCCCGTTTCGATGCGCTTTCAACACTCGAACAATGCCACAGCAGGTTGATATTCAGTATGTCCGATCCAAGCCACCAAAATAAAATAAAATAAAATAAAATAGCAAATTACTAATTTCGCCTTTGGCCTGTGCAACATGTTGCTGTCATTATGATTAGCTTTTTCTGTAGTTCGTTTGCGGTTAAAGCGTTTAAAAATATATAAAATATTTTAACGAATAAATAATTAGGCAACCCAATTGCAGCTGACGCAAAAACTGCACTCTCCAAGTTGTTGCACTGGAAAAAATGCGGTGATAAATACATTTTACATTCAAATCCATTTACGAAACAACTTATAATATAAAAAATTCAAGATATTTGTCTTTACTTAAAAATGGGTTGATATATAATTTTAATTCAACCCCACTTTTGAAAAATCTTAATTTGATATGATAATGAACTCTAACAAAACAAATAATAAATAGCATCAATATCTAGAGATTTATATCAACTTTAAGAGCAACTACCATTCGTTATCTCCCCATCCACAATTACTTGCTATCTTTTTTTTCGAGTTTTTCACTTATTGCCAAAGAAGGCGAGCTAACAAAAAACGCGTTTTTAATTGTTCGGTGGCTTATCGCATGTTTTGGCCTTTTTGGGAGCTCAAAAATGTTAAAGCAAAGGTGAGGGGAATAACAACAAGAAACAAAATAATAATACATTATGTTGGCTGGTGTGCCAGTTAAGCCTCAAATTATGTGCAAAATAAATAAGAATCGTTTTTTTACGATTTGTTGTAGTTAGCAAATGATTGAAATTTCCAATTTCCAAGTTTTGAAGTTCTGTGGCAAGTTTTTATAGCAAGCTGCAAGATACACACTCACACCCATTTGGCGGCGTCATTATCATATCGTTGTATCTCTTGATCTTCATGCAGCATCATCATCATCATCACACTCGTTCCGTTCCGAAGAAAACGTTGCATTGCCGTTACCAACGCAATCCATTTCCAACCATTTGGCCGTGCTTACACCCATATGCCCATACACCATACACCATACACCATTGCATATGTATACCAGAGGGTTTATTTCCGTTGACGTGCCTTAATTTCAGCCAGTTTGGGATTGGGACTGGCTCTTGCCGCATTTCTGCTGTTCCTGGTCTTTGGCTCCCTGCCTCCGCTCAGATGATTATAATGGGCTATGCCGATGACGATGGCGCTATGAACCGAGCCGAGCGCCTACACAGAAACTAGGGTAGATTTGGAAATCTCTGGAAAAGATTTCATAGCTAAGTTAAAGGTTTGGCCATACCCTATGCATAGTATTGCCCACAAGAAATTTTGGACTGCTCTAGTACAATTACCTTTCAGATATTAGTAAAATATTCTTCATAACTACCATTTTGTGTAACTCAATAAAGCACTAAAATATATATTTAACACGTAAATGTTAAAGCTTATGCCTTAAGGAAAAGTTATTTCATATAAAACTGCCTTAAGCTACTAGTTCTTTATAGATACCTATAACCAAATAAGATAGAAGTGTTGATTCAATTATAATAAACTGTTTTAAAATGGTAAAAATGATAACAATCAATAAAAATAACAAGGGCTAATGGGACATAAAAGAAGGTAATGTCTTTGAACATGGTATAAATAAATAAGCTCACTATGAGCTGTAATTAATAAAAATATTTGTACACATTTCAGTTTTAAGCGTTAAATTTCCAAGAAGCTAATGTCATTTTGGGGGGGAATATTTTAATATATATTAAGAAAAGAGCATTCAAAATTCGCCTAAGGCACAACCTACTCAATTCTGATGTGTGGGAGCTGGCAGCTCTGGGCCCAGATGAATAATCAAGCCGAAGAACTGGCGTCTCCAGTCTGCGCACACATAAAGGTGATGGCGACGACTGCTTTTGGGTTTCTTTCGGATTCAGAGGGGTCGAACTGGTTGTGGTGGCTTCTTGATTAGCGAGTCCGTGCTAAGTCTGAAACCAAACAGAGGCCCAAGAGGCGGCTAGTTGGATTGCTCGGATGGATGTGTTTCGATTGAGTGCAGTGCCAAGCCATCCTGATCCTGATCCTGATCCTGCTGAGTCAGCGGCGACAGGTTGGTGTGAGGCGTGGCATTTCATGCATAATTAGCCACACTGAGGACGGGACCCAAAACCAAAGAATCGGACGGGGGACAGCGGAAATTAGAGGCACTCAAACGTTTCGAATCGTTGACCAGTTAGCGTGACAGAGGTGGAGTTGAGCTGAGCTGCATTTTAAAATATTTTTATTGTTGAGGATGTTGCCGGTGTGTACGCAATGGTCAACACAACACTTGTCTTTATGTTGCTGCACAGAAAAAAAATATCTAAACTTAATATTTTATATTAAAATTTTGTTTTGAAAATTCACAACTAACTCCGATGCTAAGAATCGTGCTTAAATGCCAGGCAGTCATAAAAATGTTATTTTATTGTTAACAAGTATATCTTGATTTTGATTTTTAAATAAATCGAAATTGAGCGAATGCATCAAGACACTACATAACTATCATATTTTAGAAGATATTGGTGATCAGTATTTTTCATTAAAAATAAAGGACAAGTTATGATAAAACCCCTGATTTATCATGAAAAGCAGTTACTCAATTCATCAATTAATCACTTATCGTGTTATCAGAGCTACTAAAGCATCCACTAAAAGTATCCTGATCATTTTTCCGTGTGTGTGGATATACCAGCACAGCTCAGATTTATTTTGACCACGTACATATGCAAAACGCATTCTAATGGAACCGGCGAGCCAGTGTTTCCTCTGGCCACGTTTGTCCATTGTAGTTGGCAGTTACGCTCTGATTTTTGAGCCTCCACCTGTTATTGTTTGGCTTTGCCTTTGGCTTTGCACGCTTCCCTGATGCCCTGCGGTGCGTTCGCTCACAATTCACAATTCACAACTCACAATTGTTGTCCAGAAACGGAAACGCCGCCTTTTGTTGAGCGGAAATGCAAAATGATATTGTTCGTTTGGCCACTGGCAAGAACCCTAGCACGCCACTCGCTAATATGATTGACTCTGAATGGGTCTCGGGTTGCAATCCACAGTCTGCAGTCTGTGGCTATCCATTACCCCCCAGTCGCAGTTGTCGAGATGTCATTGGAAAGTGCCATCAAGATCCCAACGCCCAAACCAAAGTAACCAGGTCGCCCACTTGAAAGCCCTCAGCCTTCGATTTGCACTCTCTGTGTGGGCATCCAACAAATGCAGAACCGAACAAGCAATTATGCAAAGCATTCACATGCTAAATATTTATGTATCTGTTCAGTTTGATGTTCAAATAGTACACAGGAATAGGTGTTCAGCCCGGGATGAAGCCGCGAGCTGACCGCGAAGGCGACTGGCTGCGCAGGTTGCAAAGCACTCGAAGATTGGGCAGGTTCTGTTGGTTGCGGCAGGAGCGCTCCCAGCCCTTCCAGTACTTGAAGCCCTCGCGTTCCTGGATCATTCTGGCACAGGCAATGTCGTCGCCTATATCGTCATTGGAGAAATCTGTGCAAATTGAAAAAATAGAAAAGGTTAAATAACGAAAAATAGATTTGCCCATGCACATATTTGTTAATCCAATTAAATAAATATTTTTGGAAAACCTTTTATGATCCCTTATTTTAAACACAACAGAAACAAAAAATTGGGGTCGTAAGTAACAATACAGGTGAATGGGTTTCAAATAAGCTCCCACTAAAGAACGTAATATAATTTTCTCTTATTTTTTTGTTAAGTAAAATTGTACTTTGTAAATATGATTTATTGTTAATTATATAAATACACAGCTAAAATGTTGTATATATATAATTTAAAAAAAAAATCAAAAGCGATGAATTGAAAGCTCAGTTGGGACTTTGTGCCTGATCGGTGCACCCTTATTGGCCATATTTTTTCGCAACCGATTTCGACAAATACAGCTAACCCTCCCAAGTGCACCCAGGTGCAGTATACAACAAAGGCGACTATCTAGTCCTATATAGTGTTACTTTGACTCTTATGAGTGAGGCCTACGATCTTTCTTATCGCATCGAATGCATTTCAGATCGGAGTTGAATTTTTTGCTCAGCCAGCGAAATCAATTTGGCATATGTTTTTGAGTGGTCTGGAAGCTTTCAAAAATTGTCCATAGATATAGCTTTGTTTTGTAGTTTCTAAGTTTCTTGATACAGCTTGAGATATAATATTTGTGGACTTTATTTGGTTATTTTTGTAGGCTTTTTAAGATTCGTCTAGCCTTCAAATGTAAAAATTAATTTTTTTATCTATATTTATATTAGCTAGTTTTAAATTAAGAAGTATTTTCGCCTCACCTTCACATTTCTTATTGCACTGCCCTCCTTTTTTTCCCTCAGTGCAATAGCCCCTGCTGTTGATCTGGAACAGACCGTAGTTCTTGCTTTTGTTTTCCATGTATGTTATTTTGCTGGTATTCAGTTCACTCTCGTGCTCCACCAGACAGATCCCTACCAAAAATCGATTAGTTTAATAAAGTACATATATCTAGATCTGAAATTCGCTTACAGTTGGAGATGAAAGACTTGTCGAAGTTGTATTTATCCACCAGCACATGTGTGAGTTCGCATCGCTGATATTTCTTGGATTCCACTTGCTTCGATCCCAGCAGCAGCAGGATCAGCACTGGCATAAGCCATAGACAAAGAGTTTTCATTATCTGAAAAGCTGAAATTAAAAGACTCATCGCTTGGATTACAGGGTATTGGGCAAGGGTCGATCCTCATTATCTATGGACATACTTAACCATTAACCCAAACAGTTCAGCGAATTTAGCCCTGCGAATAATTTCCTTGTTCTTCGTCATATAGCTATAACACCTGATGTCAGTTTGTTTGAAATTGTCTACCTTATATCGGTTGACGAACTTCTTAAACCATCTGTGAAAGTGTTAAAATACCTCTGAACTGTTTCACAGCTTTTTGGCTTTTTACAGTTTCCCATGGCATTTCTTCTTTTTAACACCAAACAAGAACCCCTGAATTCTGGCTAATGATGAAATCACTAACCAATTACCATTATTTAAACCTTTGTTTACTCCCACACGAAATTATACCCTTGTATCAGTGTCGTTTTTACATATTTGTATCTGTTTATCAGTGCATATATAAGATATACTATCTTAAAAGATATCTATCACATTTGTCTGTGTAAGACGGTAATGTAGAGATTCCACTTATTTAAGTATACGAAAGTTTAAGTATGTTAAAACTTTTCAGAATTAAAAACGTTTAATTCAGTCGTGTTGCTTTGCATATTCTTCTCTCGCTTTAATCGTTTTATTTATTTTTGTTTGGTTGTAAATTATTATTTATAAGCAAAAACGCCCACAGGGAAATATTTACTTAGTAGTTTCATTTGATTCAGAACTTAACTAGCAGTTATTTGAAAAATCAACTTAATTTGTAGTAAAATCTGTATTAAAAATTATAATAAACAATATTAAAATAATTAAAATATCATATTTAATTTGAGTAAACGCCTTTAAACAGGTGAATCCATAATATTGCCATGTCATGATTCTGTTTTATTTATGTAATTTATCCACGAACAATTAAACTTTTCAAGGTTACCACATCGTAAAAAATCATAAAAAAAACAACTTCGTCTTGAGACTTATTCTCAATAGTTCATTAAGTACACGCATGTACACGTTTCACTTTTTTCTTTCGAGATTTGCATGCAAGCGAATGTAAAAATGGGATTGAGTTACTTCCTCTGGCAGAACACTTTTACTTCAGCAAACAGTTTGTTTACTTTGTTTACCTAATTAACGCAGAACAACAGCGATCGCGGCAACAGGAAACGAGTTTGTTGAGCGGAGTACGAGTACGAGTATGTGTACGAGTATCTGTATCTTCTTACCGCGTTCCGTGATGGCGTGCTTTCAAATACATATGATTTGCACAACCGATCGGATCCGATGAGAAGCTAGCCCGCCGTTGCGACGCTGCTGACCCGAGTTTAAGTACTGAACGCCCAAGTATTTCTCAGATACAAATGCGCCTCTATTTTCGACTCGGTCGAGGTAATTCTCTCCCAAAACGCTGATCGCAGAGTAAAAGCCATGTGAATTTGCTCTGCTCGTCAGCCTGATAAAGTTGATAAGGCCCGCTGTCACGGTTGACTTACCGCCTGAACTTTCTGACAAATCAGTTGATTTAGAGTGATTCGGAGAGGAGAGGGTATTTTCCGATTTTGGATGACTCTGCTCTGAGGCCTGTAATTTTCAGACTTTTTCTTACTTCTGTGCAGCGATGTATTTTAAGCAGTCAATTGAACAAGGTTGAGTTCGATGATCCAATTTATGGGCTTTATCTATATTAAAGAAATGTCAGAGAAAGCAAAGGGTCGCAGAAGTCTCTAAAGATTATACATACATGTGTTAAATTTTTTATTAATAAAAATCGAATTTTATCTTTGATTTAAGAATATTTAAGCAAGCGTTTTGCCAAAGGTTAATGATAAGGACCAGTTGAAACACTGTAAAAGTAACTTATTCTGATCTAAGCTATGGCGTTTCACAATGAATCTTAAATTTTTTATTTCGTATTAATTATCAGTTTTTCACTCACAAATAATCCTGTAGCTGTAAGTAGAGTATAAACTTCTTTTAATTTAGAGTTTACCCCTTTTCCCGGTAACACTAAATTCTCTGATTTTGGAGATTTCCATTTTAATTTCAATCAACTATAATGGATTTTCTGTTTGCAAAATATGATTCTTTAAGTTGTTCTTATGGTTTTCTGTCTTCGAAGTTTGTTGTATTTGTTGTTGTTGTTTTATTTTTTGTTCAAATAATTGTTAAAAATTTGTTAAACGATAAATACTCAATTTTCTTTTAAATTTAAGTTCATAACCCAATTTAACACTGGTGGGTGGAAACAAGTGTTAATTATTTGTAGCAATCTGATGGTTGTAGTATGTCACCGACTTAGAGGTCCTGGTCCTTTCTCTGAGTCTCTTACCAATGTTGGGGGAAAACGTCAAAGGGATTGCTAAATAAAACAACCTCTTTCGTTGAGGTTTGGATTTAAACTGTTTGCTTAGGTTCAAGTGGCCGGCACTTAGATATTACAAGTGCTTACACTGCTCCCCTGTAGGGTATAATATACAGACCATAAATTGATTGATTTACATAGTGATCTCATAACATGTTATATTTTACAATTAATAGTGACGGTGAATGATTAGGACAGGGCAAAACACTGGCTTTGCGATAACATCTCGCTTAGAGCTGATAGCGGAAAATACCTGGAAAAGATTTAATAGCTCGATTCCAAGTAAATAAATAAATAAATACACTTTCTTCCGAAATAATGACTTAAGCTTTATGAAATTTAGTAGCTATGCATAGAGTTAGTTAAGGCTAAGAGCGAGTCGAAGAGCAGTCCTAGCAGCGCGAGACGTCGGGCAGCGTGCGCCCACGACATTTGCTCATCCATCCGGGCCAGGCCTGGAATCCGTGGCGATTGAAAATCTGCATGGCGCAGCGTGAGTCATCCGAGATCTCATCGTTCAGGAACTCTGCAACGGAAAGCTCTCTATTTGTATATGCTTTTTTTTCGTGGGCGTTCGGGGAATGTGGACTGTTGACTGTGGACTCACCTTCGCATTTGATGTTGCAGATGCCACCGCGACGACCTTTGCGACACCAGTTTTTGCTGTTGATCTGTGGATGGGCGGATTTGTGTTGAGCGGTCCCAAAATTAGTGGAATAGGAGCTTGGGTTAACCCACCTGAAAGAGTCCATAGCTGACGCTTTGGTTGGGCAGCTGCATTGATTTGGATGTACTGCGTCCGCTCTCCGCTTCCACCAGACAAACCCCTGAAAGTAAAGCGAAAAATACTTGTTTAATTGGGGCATAGGGGATATACATATTCGTTTTTCCCAACTTTTAATCATGTTTTTGTTAAAAACTTTAATGGAAAAGTACTTGGTATTTAAAAGAAAAGTGTATTTAAGATTAATATAAATTCAACCTTTTACAATTTGAACAACAATTTGCCAAGCTTCATAACTAAAAAAAAAAATTTTTTTAATTCACATAAAACACAATGTTGTATTTTGCTTTCTTCCACATATGTATGTTTTAAGTCTCTTAAACACACTGAAAATGCAAAACCAAACTTAAATTTATGCTTCACAAATTTTTCAAAATTATTTTTAAGTTTGCATAAAAAACAAGTTGAAATTAATTTTGCATTTTGCTTTGTTGCACACTCGCATCTTCAAAACTTTAATAAATAATATTTTGTGCTTCAACCTTTGTTTATTTCCAAAATTTGATGCAACTAGCTATGGACATTTCACCATACTCACAGTTGGATAGATAACTGCGGGGAAAGTCGTGACGCAATAGTTCCTTGGCCAACTGGCAACGGGTCAGCAGCTTGGACTCGGTCTCCCATTGCGAAAGCAGGAGAAGATTGAGCACCAGGACGAGGGCACCGCCTTTGGGCAAGTGACTGGCCATGTTGGGTTACAGGGGGGAGATTTGAGCTGGGTACTGTGCTGGGACCACTGCTAATCCTTTGGGTTCGAGGGATTCTAGAGCGCTTCCCTCCGCGGCAACTGCGACTACTGGGCACTTTGCTGCGGAATTATTCCTACGGCACTGGATGCGTAGCGCCCGAAATCTGGGTTTTTAAAGCCTCGCACGCAGTTTTTGTTTTCCTGTGGAAAATGGGAGGCGACACTCGGGAGCGGTCCGGTGACATGGAAAAAATGTGCGGGTTACTCGGCACTGGGGGTAGCTAATAAAAAACAGGCCATAAATTCATAAATTCAAAAGTAATTTTTGAACATTTCTTTTGGTTGAACCAAAAGTAATGTGGCTGGCTAAGTTCACGAAAAAAGAGTTCCATTATTACTAAATATAGCCAAGTTGAGAAACTAACCCCCCAGATTATCTCTCAGTGCATTCAATAAATCGCTTTGATTGCGTTAAGCTCTAAATTGGCAAATTGTCTTGCAGAGATAACAATGGGAATCTTTAGCCCGAAACGCATCCACTGGATACAGATGCACTGTGTGGGTGTTTGTGTGTCAGAGTGTCAGTGACAACTGACTGCGGCTTGACCTAAAAACGCACGATCTGATGATGTGTGAGGAGGAGTGCATCCCGCCCAGCGTCCAAGTGTTTTCGCTTTTCAATGCTTGTCCGACTAATTTCCATGAAAATTTTTCCATTTACAGCCCACTTCTCATGCTCTCGCTGCTGTCCGCCCTGGCAGCGGCCAATGACCTCAAGGATCTGCTAGAGGACAGCACCACGACGATCAGCAGCACCACCACCACCAGCACCACTCCCTCACCGTTGTCATCGCCCACCACGCCCACCGCCTATGTGGTGTCCGCAGCGGCAGTTCCCGCCCTTGCTGCCGGCAGAGGAAAGTCCAAGACCTCCTCCGGCAAGTACGTCAACAAGAGCTCTCCCAGGAAGCGCAAGGCGGAGCAGGTGTCCTCGCTGCCGCTGCCCGTGGACGACGGACTCATGGAGTGGAAGTGCCCCAATATCACGGGCACTCGGAACGCGGAACTCGAGTGCGGATGCGACCTGCCCCACACACTCCGGTGCAACATTGATCTGCACGGAATGCTGGTAAGGCCAACTAAATATTACGGATCTGAAAATTAAAAAAAAAAATTGTATACGGAAAAACATGTTATTTTAGTTAAATAATATCATAATACTCGAACTAAAAATAGAAAAGCTAAGATAAATCTCCTAAGCATAGACAGAAACACTTTATGATCTGTACAGTCTAATATAGAGATAAAGATAAATTGAAAACATTCAAATTTCACAATATTATTACTTATTCAAAACAAAATATACATTTCTTTCGTATCATCCCAACATTTTGTCAGTATATAGAATACAAAAAATTGTATTAAACTTTTCCAATTTTGACCCCGACGTGATTTGAACACGCAACCTTCTGATCTGGAGTCAGACGCGCTACCGTTGCGCCACGGAGTCATTTTGTACTTGTTTTCCTTATATGAGCTGATCAATTTGCCAACTTTCAGTATAAATATATATTTTTAAAATATTGATAAGATAGGTTCATTCAGCATTATGGTTGTATCTCTTACCTGTTTGATCTTATTAATGAATATGACAAACATTTTTCTTCTTGTCAATCAAATCCAAGAAACACCTTTCCCTTGGCAAAAAAACAAGTGTTCAGGATCACTTATCTTGATCAATATTAACAGCCAATGCAGTTTTGCCAAATTCGTCTGTCAATTGCTTCGCCAGATGAGCTGTTTTGAAAACTTTTGCCACGTGAAACATAACTATTTGCTAGGACGTATTGTCTGTATATATATTCTATATGGAACCAAAAGAATTTTAAAAAGGAATATCCAATTCAAGCTTTGACCCCGACGTGATTTGAACACGCAACCTTCTGATCTGGAGTCAGACGCGCTACCGTTGCGCCACGGAGTCTTATTTCTTATTTGATTTAAAATAAATTTTAATATTGATTAGATAAGCTGCATTCAGCACCTCTTGTTCTCACTTTATAATAAAGACAACAAACATTATCCTAAACAATATTTAAACAATATTTAAACAATATTTGAAAAGCGACTTTTGACTCTATTAAGCTAGTTAAATAATAGACAAAAGCTTTAGTTTTCTTTATAATAAGATTTAAACATAATTGTCTTGAGTTTGTCTAAATCTTTAATTTTATTTCCCACAGCTTTTGGCGGACAGGCTGCGCACCTCTCCGTACTCCATTTCGTTGCTGGACTGTTCCTTGCGGAACGTGACCTTTCTGAGCGATGCCAAGATCTTCGATGGAGTTTCGCTGCACGGCTTAGTGATCTCCTCCGGCGAGATTAAGCGGGTGCACAAGTCCGCCTTCCTGGGAATCCGAGGACCTCTACAGGCACTCGGACTGCCCGGAAATGCGCTGATGAGCGTGCCCTGGAACGCTTTGTCCACGCTGGGCGCCTTGGAGCGCTTGGACCTGGCCAACAACAAGATCAAGGCCCTGGGCACCGCCGACTTTGTGGGCTTGACCAGTCTGGTTTACCTGGAGCTGAGCAACAACCAGATCTCGAGCATTTCGCAGCGCACCTTCGGCAACCTGCGAAAGCTAGAGGTGTTGAAGCTGGGCGGCAACAGATTGGGTGACTATGCCCAGAGCTTGAGGTCGCTGAGCCAGTGCCTCAGCCTGCGGCAGCTGGACTTGCAGGCCAACAACCTGAATGGACCACTGAGTGAGCAGACGCTGCCCGGAATGAGGAACCTCGAGAGCTTGAACCTCAATCGAAATCTTATCAAGAGCATCCAGAACAAGGCGTTGGCCAATTTCTCGCGACTGGTGAGTCTCTCGCTGCGCCACAACCAAATCGATGTGCTGCAGGACCACGCCTTCTTCGGGCTGGGGGCTTTGGACAGCCTGGATCTGAGCTACAATGGCATTGTGGCCATCTCTAGTTCCTCGCTGCAGCATCTGTCCCGCCTGACCGTACTGGATCTCACCCATAACTTCCTGCGAGCCCTGACCTCCGATTTGATAGCACCGCTGCCATCGCTAAGGGAGTTGCGGCTGGCGGGCAACGACATCTCCATTGTGGCCCGGAACGCCATGGACGGAGCTCGGGAACTGGAGAGCCTGCAGATGCAGGACAATCCGCTGTCGTGCGACTGCAGCATCCGGCCCTTCGCCGAGTGGCTGCAGGAGTCGCAGCTCCACTCCAGCCTGAGTGCCTCCTGTGTGACGCCGCCCAGGCTGGAGGGAGCTCCGTTGCTCCAGGTTCCCGTGGAGACACTCAGCTGCGACATGGACAACGTGGAGAAGGACAATGCCAACATCATGCAGCACCTGGAGACGCTGGCCAAGCCGAATCAAACCTCGCCCATCAAGGATCTCTCCGAGGAGGTAAATTATATACATATTAAAACCGAACAAAAAAAACAAGGCTTTTATGTCTTTATTTACTTTAAAAATGTTATAATTAATGGATAAAGCTTTATAGTTGTTAGCACTGGAAAAACTTGAATAGTATAATTCAGTAATCAAAAGGTTTTCTTAACAATAGTTTAAAGTAATTTAATTCGTCACTTTTTTATGGCATAGTATAAACTTCTTTACTTTGAACAAGCCATATCTAAAGACTCATACAAGATTAAAATAGTTTCAAAGTTAAATTGTTTTTATTTATTTATTTATTTTTAATTGACTTATCGAAAAATGTAGATTGCAGAGCTATTTATTAAATGACTTTTAATGGTTTAATAAACATTGCTGGTCATTTCATAAACAAGCTATGCAAAATAACAAAATAAACTATACCATTAAAGATGGAAACATTTAAAATAAAAAATATGTTTTACAGATTATTCTACATGAGCTGCACTTTTCGGCGGACTATGGCCTGATCCTCACCTGGCTGCTGAATCTTAGCAAGAAGGATTACATGTGCGATGCGATCTTTGTCTACAAGGAGGAGCACATAAACGAGATTCTCATAGACAACTCACCGGTAATTGGCCTTGATACACAAAAAAAAGGTTCCTTTTTCTGATTACTTGAGTGTTGTTCCTTGCAGATCCATTGCGAGAGCAAAGTGGTCAATGGCCAGAACACCGTGAGTGTGATAGTGCCGGATAGCTCTTCCCTAGAAATTGGCGAGAGGTGAGATTTGAGTAAACTATAAAAAAACCAACTAACTTTAACTATCATTGACAGCTATCGCTTTTGCCTGGTCATGATTCAGGAGAAGAATCCCAAGGCGGAGCTGAACATTGGCTGCTCCAACATCACCCAGTTGGAGAGGAGCAGTCCAGGCGCCATTCCCGTGTCGCGCCAGTACCAGCGACGGCCCTACTATACCGCCAATGAGCTGAAACCGGAGGCGGTGCACGAGAGTGCTGGAGAGGATTACCAGCTGAACCAGCGCCGCTTCAACTCGGTGGTGGGCAGTCAGCCGCAACAGACGCAGCCATCGACGCTGCTGCACAGCTACACGGTCATAGATTCCCTGAACCGGAGCTTCTTGCCGGGATTGGGCCTGGGCGTGCTGGTCACCTCGGTGCTGGTCCTGATCTGGGGAGCCACTCGCATCCGGCAGACGGGCGGCAGTCATGGCAACGGAGGTGGTGGTGGTGGTGGCAGGAGTAACGATAGCATTGGCAGCAACAGCAGCAACAGCATGCACAACAACAACAACAACAGCAGCAGGCCGGGCACACCGACGGCCACCACCTGCTACGCCGCCTCGGAGCACATAGCCCGGCTGGCGGATGCGGAAAACGGGACCCGCTACCTCAAGCTCCAGGCCACGACGAGTCTGTGAGGAAGCAGAAGCAACCAGCCAAATGTCCACTCAAAAAACCATGTGATAGTACAGTAGTACCGACTGTACCGACTGTACCGACTCCCTACTCTTGAGTAGTCTTGAGTTAACGATATACGTAGCCCTAAGGTCCACTGCACTAATCCAAATAGTTGGCCCACACTAACCCACTTGTGCCATAAGCTAATCAATACGTATCCCGAAACTCCCACATATCAAACGAATATATACACAGCTGGGGTCAAAAGAATAGCAAAGAATGGACTCTGATTGAAGAACTAACGATAGATCTTTAAACATTTAATCTTAAAAAAGTCGAAAAATATAAAAAAAATTGTAATACCGTGTAAAAAATTATTATTATTTATAATCATTTTAATCATTTTAAATCATTAGAAAATAAAAAACAAGTTGTTGTTTAAATTTAAAACTTTTATTTCAATTCAAAAATTAAGCAAAAAAAATGTATATTTTTGAAATCAAAAAATTACCGAATTACCTTACAATGTAAATTGGTGGTAAAAATTAAAAAGTCTAAAATAATGCATTCTTTTGACCTCTGTTGTTAGAATTTCCCCGAATGTTGACCCTCTTGGTCCCATCCAGACGTAGTGTTAACTTAGGTTACGCCCCATTTGTGTTAGGAAAGAAATTTGTAAGTCATGCCTTTTTAGAATTAAGGCTTTAATAATTTATTAACCAATTGGAAGCACCCAAATAGAAAAGAAAAACATAACATGAAGTAAATAAGAGTGAAACGAAAAATAAAAGCCAATTGCAATCGAAAGTGAGTTCCTTAAGGTCAGATGGGCCATTTTTCGGGTTCTATTTTTGGTGAAAGGCCGCATAATGCTAAGTGGGCTATTAACCCCACAACCATGACGTCGCACGAACATATGTATTGCATGCGTAGTGGAGTGTCGTCCAGCGAATTAGCTAATTTCTATGGAAATGAGCTCATAGCTGATTCCCGAGGGAGGAGACTAACTCCTTGGACTCATAACTCATACAGGGTACTCCATAGTGCTACCCATCATTCATTGTCTTTCTCCTGTTTATCGACATACTGGTAACAACATTTTAGCCTATCCAGAAATCAAAGTTGACAAGCATTGAGCTGGATTTTGAAACCACCCATCATACGCCACCACTCCGGTCATTACCCACTTGTTTTAGCCGCGCTTCTGTTGTGGCCAACCGCTGATATGGCGACGGTCCCTCGGCAGCACGGTTCCGACTGGTTCAAGCTGGCTGGCTGGGTCAGTTGTTCCGTGCCAGCCGTCGGGCGACAACAATGACCACTGGACGCCGTCAACGTGACAGCATTTATCGATTTTCGGCACCCCCATTGGAGCGCTAGGAGCAGTCAAGGAAAAGTTCGAGCTCCGCCGCAGACCCATTGGGTTCGGACCAACGGCCTTCACATGAGCATGCTGGGCTTTGTCTACTTGGTTCTCATCCTGGGCTGGATACTGCTCGTCCTGTTTCTCAAGTGCAAAAAGTCCTTGTCCGCTCCATTTCGCTTTGGCGAAAACTACACAGATGCCATCGCCGAAACGGGTAGGGTTCTCTATTTAATGTAAATTTAATCCCTCAAAAACAAGAGAACTACAAATTATCACAATCATATCAGAAGCAAGATATATTAATTAGACAGCCATTAGATATGTGGTCCGATATGAAGCAAACTAATTGCGATTTCTACTTAATTTTGTTATCTGCTGGCTAAATCTGGTTGTTATGGTTTTAATTGTGCTATTTTTATACAATAATCCAACAGATCGTCGTCCCTCGGTGCATGTGATCCAGCTGCAGCACGATGATGTGGAACGGGAAGATCATTATATGAACAACTTTCACCGGAACACGGAGAATCTGCAGCGCTACTCGCATCGTTCGCAACGCTCCACGCTGGAGGAGCGGACCATCGAGCGGACCTATCCCACGGATGCGGTGATCAATCCTGCCTACATGCACGATGAGGATTATGTGATCAACGGTGAGCATAGCATAGCTCTTCCTCTATATTGTGCAGTAGTAATAACATTTATTTAAAGCCCCTCCACCGTCATACGAGGAGGTAATGCGTCAGCCGCAGGTGTATCCCCAGGTGCGACACAACAACCACAAGATCAGCGATGCCGACATTTAGCCTGGATATCCCGATTATCAAATTGTATATACATATGCGTACTTTGTCTTGGTCAGCTGTGATTTACATATTTTGCTTGGTTTTTTATTTGACTTGCACCTAAAAAACATAATCAATTCGATTGATTCAACTTAGGTGGCCTGCGCCTCTTGCACTGCGAATAATAGTAGTAGTTTTACATAAAAAATGTACAAAATGATTTTACATAGGTATGATTAATAGTTATGATTATGATTATGATTATGATTATGATTATGATTATGATTATGATTATGATTATGATTATGATTAATGATTACAAACAAACAGTCAGTCCACGTGTGCAGTTGTTACGGATTGTAATTGTAAATAAATTAAGAGTGAAAAATACTAAATAAAATGTGTACAAAAATAAAACGTTTCCCTTGGCATTCTTTTGGCTAGATTAAGTCGCTAAATTCGATATATCTCGTACATACAGAGACACCAAAGCTCGTACATATTGATACATAAATGTGTTCCAACGTGGCTTAGTTATTCACAGTTCTAATTACTTCAGTTGCGGCTCATGCCTTTGGCTATCTACGGCAGCACCTTGTACACGCTGTGCATTTGGATGAAGGCCTCCAGTTGCGTGGGTATCAGACCCTTGAAGTTCAGCCTGTTGGCGGCGATGGTCCGGGCAGCCAGGCACTTGAGGCTGGTGTGGGCATTCTGATACCCATGCAGCCGATTGGCCAAGACAGCTGCAACGGCAATAATATGAATGAATAAGGTCAAGTGACAACTAGTTGTAAAGCTTACGCTGCTTGCAGGCCGTGGCCGCTGTCTGCCCAAAAGCATTGACCGCATCCAAATGGGCGCCCGCCTCCACGAACAGCTGCAGAATGCGCGCCATTTCCGCCTGGCGATCCTGTGCGGTGTTCACCTTGGTCACCAGTATATGAAGCGGGGTGTTCCGAGCAGCATCCACGGCTACGACAGAAGCGCCGCAGTGCACCAGAACCAGAGCAGTGGCATAGCAGGGGAATCTGTAGTGGAATCAAAGGTATAAGTCTTATTATCCCCTATTTAATCCGTTTAAATTAAACTCCCACCTGCACATTTCATTCGTGTAGAACTCATCCACCGGCATCACTCCATTGACGGCGATGTGCAGCAAGGTCTGTCCATCCTGCAGACGAGTGTCGTTCTGTATGAACTTGCGCACCACCAGGAACAGCTGCTGGATGTGCTCCTCGTTGATATCCTGGTCCTGCTTGCGTCGCGCCAGGTGGGTGACTATCTTGATCAGATAGAGCGCCGTAATGCAGTTCTGATTGTTCTGGTCCTGCCACAGACTGGGGCAAGTGTTGGGCTTGGCCTCCTTTATCTTAAACTTATTGTTCTCGATCTCCTGCTGGCACTTGGCCAAAACGGGCAGAACGTGATCCAACGTCAGGTTGTGGTTCTCCACCCGAAGAATCTGGGCGAAGAGCTGGGCAAAGCGTAAGAGATCGCGATCTACCGAAACCTGGCCAAGATTAAACAAACAATTACTGTGTGCTCTACGCACTTGGCGTATCAAAGTCAAAACTCACATTATTGCGCATTCGTAGATCGATGGCGTAGTTCCAAAGCACCTGGCACTGGTAGAATCGGCCCTGATCGGCCATCACAGCTCCCCGATAGATGATTGCCTGCGGCAACTCGGGATTATTGCGGCCCAGTATGCGCTCCCTAATGGCCAGTGACTCCATGTGGATGGAGTGGTGGTTCAGCTGGATGGCATACAATTCGGGCAGGTTTTCAGTCTCAAACCAATTGTCATAGGCGGCCACCGTGGGCTGCACTTTCTTGCGGATCACACCACGCGGATTGCTGTAGCGCAGCTGCATGGCTCTCAGCAGATAGCTGTACGCCTTGTTCACATCGTACTTGGTCTTGTCATTCGCATAGGTGGCTCCGAGGAGCTCCAAGGCTGTGATATGCTCTTCCAAGCTCATCAGTCCCGGTCGCTGGATGAACGCCTCGAGGACATCCTCGTGAAGGCGTTCCGCTGCCTGCAAGGCGGGCGTGATGCCCAGCTCGTTCTTTTTCAGAGTGGCTCCATGATCCAGCAGGGCCACCACCACATCCAGGTGGCCGCTCTCCGCCGCATAGTGCAAGGCAGTGGCTCCACACAGGGCCTGGTCATTGGCCCTCGATCCATTTTGCAGTAAAGTGTTTACCACTAAGTGGTGACCCTTGTAGGCGGCAATCATTAACGTGTTGTTGTTAAACAAATTCGTGGCATTCACGTCAGCTCCATTGTCAATAAGGAATTCAACAATGTCCAATCGACCTGTGAGCATATAATAATTAGTAAAATTATTAAGCGTATGATTACTTGTTACCGTTTTGGAAACGTATTTACACTTTATCTGGAGTCCTTTTAGAGTCCATTTTAGGTTAAACAAATGATTCTCATTATATAAAAAATTATACAGATACAATCTACAATAAGATCTCTATGAAGGGTTTGCTTTTTCGATAATAAATATTTAAAGTTATAAAATTTGGTAAAATTTTGGTAAATTTCGACACTTAATACAGTACATTGGGCAATTAATGAATATCTTGACTATAAAATAAATTCAGCTTTTAAAAACCAATATCTATGAAACAAAAACTAGCCACTTTGGGTACACCATCGATAAATTCTTACCCTCGTAGCAGGCAGCTCTCAGCGGCGACGACTGCGCCTTGGTGTTGTGATTGATGGACGCCCCCGCCTGGACGAGCATCTTGACAATCTGCAGATGTCCCATTCCGGCAGCCACCCACAGGGCGGTGGCTCCGTAGACAACCATGCCGTCGAAGATGACATTGCACTCCCGCTCCAAGTCCACGTCGTAGTGGGAAAGCAGCGTCTTCACGAATTTCACATTGCCCGACATGGCGGCCATGGTGAGCGGGGTCAACGATTGTCCATCTGGCTGATCGAAATTCTGGGGGAGAATCGAATAGAAAAAAACATAAAACATTAGAGGAGGGGCCGATGAAAAGCTATGATGTGCGTGCGCAGCCGTTTCACAGTCAAGGTTGGACGAAAATAGTGCGTCGCAAGTGATAAATGTAAGGTATAAATATGTGTAAGTCTGTGGAAAAACGTGCATGCTTTCTTTGTTCGCTTTACATGGGCGAAAATCGGGCAAAACAGCATCCAGGCCAAAGTCCATACGCTTGGCTACTGCGTTGTGCCACGGAAATAGCCGCATCTGGGTCAAGAAACTGCTGCCCAGGGACACCAGGCACACACACACTCACCGCCGGATACGTGATGTAGTTGGTCACGGGCAGCGTGTCGTTAGCTCCTCGCCAGAATCCGGCTCCTGGCCAGGCGGACTCATACCAGCGCTTGCGAGTGCTGCAATTAGTTTGGGGAAAAGCGTTTTGGTTTGGTTTGATTTGGTTTGGAGTTGGAGTCTCTTAATGTCGGAGCTGGGAAAAATCCATCTATTACCGATACAACTCCGCGTGCATGGCCTGGAATCTGAATTTTAACTGACAGCTGCCTGGACAGTGGAGGTCCTGAGGGCGAGGCGAGCACCGAAAAACTCGATGAAACTTCGCCAGCCACACGATTCCTTTCCATTCTCAACCCTAAGTTTGCATAGGCTGCTTATGCTTATTTCCATTTTTTTTTTTTTTTTTTTTTTTTTGTTTTTGGGGGTTGAATCGAGGCGAATCGCATCGAGAGGGAGCGATAGACCCTGCGCAGGGCCAAACAGCTGTTCACGGAGAGAGGTCCTTCAGGGTTTGTTTACCACCCGCAGCTGTTCGCCTGCATTCCTTCGAGCCACCGACGCTCAGAGAGAGAGAAAGACAGAAATAAGGGGGTGGAAGCAAGAGTCAACCGCATTTCCACACAGAAAACAATTACTGTTATGTCAGGACATCAAAACTACATTCTGAAAATTGTGTGCGATATAAAATACGATAGTGTAAAAGAGCCTTTCAAGTGCCCAACCGTAAATAGAAATGAGTTTTTTAGGAAAAATGTAAAATCATTTTGAACAGAAATCGAATAACATATTTAGTGCATTTTCTAAGGTTTTAATAATTTGGAACATTTTTTAAGCCCATATCTTTTACTTGCAGAGTTATTATATATAAATGTATAATGGAGAAATTTAAGTAATTAAATAATACGTTTATACATACATTGAATTAGAATCAGACAAATACCGAAAATAAATTGTTTGACATTTTTGGTATTGTCTTATCTAATCTCATAATCGGATCAGTAAACAATTCGCTAAATTTTTGCTTACAAATCTTTAACCCATATTCAACCTCTATATGAACATACAAAAGTACAATGAAACTAGTCAGTTGCATTATTTATGAAACCTATGTTTTGCCCACAAAGTTCGATTAGATTACGACGCAGCTCCGAAGGTGCCGTAAATAATATTGTTATTAAACAAATTAATAAACGCACATTTTTCATTTAGGATTTCAGGAAATTGCAAAGCATTCAATCTGGCAACAGGCCAATTCTGTGTCCAGATAGCCACGGCACCTCTGAGTAATTGGTTAAAGATGGCCCCAGTGTCATCCACTTGATATCCAATTGATTATGACAATGACTTTCGGTGCCTTAAATAGGGTTTTATCTGTAGTGTTCGGTCATTAATTTCGAACATTCGCTGCAAATACTGCGGGTTGAATGCGATTTTACTTGTCTTTTTGGCAGGCAGTTAAGTTATTAACATTAAACAACTACATGTACAGTGAGGGCTCGTTTAACAGTCATTAACAAGATTTACAACTTTCAAAAAAAAGTTCATAATTTTTAAAATCCAAACAAAGAAATTTATAGATCAACAGACTTGGTTCTTCACCAAATAACGATTTCGTATTTTCTGTTCCAGTAAACAATAGAATTTAATGCCTACCCTAAATTTTGTTTAATTACCGTTAAAATTGTAATTAAGGATACAGGATTTAGGTAGCGACACCTAAATATTTTGTAAATATTAAATCTTTCAAATGAATTAGGTAAATACATACATTATATTTTACTTATTTTTGTTAAATTACATTTTTCTTTTTGCCTATACCCAAATAAGTTACTTCCTGTCCGTAATGTTAAAATTCAGATTTGAGTCGATTTAAAATAGTCTCAAATAGCGGGGGGCTCCCTGTACAATCGACTGAGCATGTGGAGCCGCCTCCTCCATCTATCTCCATCTCGCTTCCCCACTCGTTCTCTCTCATAAACAATGACAAACCAAGTAAATACCAAAAGCAGCAGTGGAGCGTATAAAAGCGCTCTATGCAGCAGCAGACTTTGCTTTTACGTATAAACCGAATTATACGTATACGTACGGCGGCGATTTTCATTAATGACGCAGTAGTTAATTCAGGCAATTACGCAAATAGGCATTCCATCAACGGCCTGTGCGCTTTGTCGAGTACTCACTGTATTGACCAGGTATGTCTGCACCGCCCTGCAGCTAACGGTGTTCAGAATCTCGACGAAGCTCAACATCTGGCCATTGCGGGCCGCCAGGTGAAGGTTGTTCAGCTGGGAGAACCTTAGACGCGGCTCCTGCGGAAACTTAGCCCGGATCTCCTCGGAGATCTCCACCAGCATGCCGTGAGCCATGTTAAAATATCCGAAATCGGGAGGGTAACCATCGTAAATGGAAGTGTGCGCCTCCTCGCGAGGCTCTTCATCCGGATCGACCTCCATTCTGGCCGAGATGTGTAAAATATTGCACTGATCGGTGATCACCAGGAATGGAAGCGACACACGGGCCGTCGCACGGTACTACACTTTCCAGACGCGAACGGCCACACTTAGGGATGAACAGGTGAAAGTGAAAGCAGTGACTTAGCGATAGTCACACTTGTTGAATGAAAGACCGGAAGTTTTTAAATTCTTTTTTTTATTAAAAGCCTAAATTTGTCAACTATTGTGAAAATGGTAGAACTGCTAAATTGAAAATAGTGATATATGTACATTCAAATCGTTTATTCACGCCTTCATATAGAGATCACATTTGCTTTTGGATTTGAAAAAAATGCTATCATGAAACATTTATGAAATACAGCTTGATGTGTTGATATGTACTGATAATTGAGCTTTTAGTTTCTTCTTCATCCATTATTCTGATATTTTTCAATGTGTGAAAAAAGTGTCGTTGATTGATTGCTTGATCTGGTACGTTGCGTGGCGCGTGTGAGGTTTTACTGTTTTTTTTATGTTCGGTGTGGTGAAGCTTCAATGTGAAAGTTTTCAACATTGGACAAGGCCAGGCTCTGTCTTGCTTATAATATTAAAGGGTTGAGTGTGGTTCGAGAGGCCTGTCCAATGTAAAATTTTCATCGATGCGTTTTTTGGTTCATATTTTTCCAATCGCCCATCCTGGTACGACATCCTGCGTCGGTTCGCCTGGAAAACTATGCCTTAACGCAGTTGCGGTTATCATTATTGTACAGTCATATTATGGCCAGTCACTTTCGTTTCTTCAACATAATCTCCATCGTACGATCAGTTCTTAAAATATGCTTGCATGGTGCTCCAAAGTTTCGATCTTTGGCCTCGTGTGTTTACAGTGGGCGGCAGCATACTAATATGCTGCACATCGAGTTCCCAACATCTCGATTAACAGTTCATCGTTTTGAAATATTCAATTGAAGCTGTGTCATCACTATGCCACAGTCACAGTTTACGTCACGGTCACAGTAACGGTTTACTCACAGTATCCATTCACTGAAGTGCTCATGATTGTGATGCGTTTGTGTGTTAGTGCACACTGGAAATTTAGCTTTCACTGGAATTTTGATTTTGTTTCTATCTGTGCCAGTTCTTTAAAAAGGAAAAAAGTTCGCTTATGGTTTTTTATACCAAACCTTTCTTGTGATAGTTTAAGTGCATATTTTTTTTATCCGCCCAAGCCCTTTCTGGTCATCTCTAAATTGCTAGTGTGTTATGCTCTTCCAAAAATTTGATTTTACTGAAAGGACAAGTTTAAAATAGAAATCATTGATTTTTTAAACAGTTTGAAACAAGCACTGGTGTAAAATAAGAAGACTAGTAAGTTTGTCTCCTAGTCTAGGTATCGTGGTCTTTAAAATGTATAGATTCGTATCTTTGTTTTGTTTGTTTTGGAATGAAATAGGCATAAAATAGTTTACCGGTTTTCAAAGCTGGTAAAAGGGAAAACTTAAAACTCTACTTCACACTAAATTAGTTACAGATTAAATTAGTTTGTTTGCAAGCAAAATATTTGTTTCGCATTCGAATTTCTATTTCGGTTTTATGTAAAAATTCAATAAAATACAAGCAAGTGTAAGTAATCCATAAAAATAATCAACAATCTACTCGAGGGATAAACACTCGCAACTACTTGATCTACAAAGCAAATAGCCGAGGCTTCTCTATAAGGTATTTACTTTACGGATCCACCGAAAGAGGTATTAGTTGGAGGCAGCAATGGCCACTGGAGATGGTGAGGCCACAACTGGGTTAACGGCGGGTGGAGCCGTGTTGTTGTGATCAGCTTTGTCGGAGGAGGAGGTATCCGCCACCTTCAGACCGTTGGAGGTGCCATTGAAACTATGACGCGAGCTCCGTTTGCGCTGTGGACGAGATTGCGCCTTGCTGGGCGACGGCGTCTTTGTGGTGGAGTCCGGTACCGAGGACACGCTCTGTGACTTGTCGCCTTCAGCTCCAAACTCTGTACTGGCGGATCGGAAGCTTACCGATCCTCCGTTTTTCGTCGGCTGACCGGTAGAGCGGCGATTGCGGCGACGATTGTTAGGCGACTTGATCACCGGCTTGATCGTGGTCTTGTTGGGATCGAAGAAGCTGTCTAGAAGCTCCAGCAGCTCGGCCTTATCCTCGCTCTTCAATGTCCCAATCGACTGCAGGGCCATGTCCAGACCCTCGGTGCGCTTGTCCGCCCAGATGGCACCCAGGGAGCTCAGATCGAATCCATTCTCGGCCAGCACAATGCGGAACTTGACGGCACGCACTCGATGGTACAAGGTGGTTTTGAAGTAGTTGAGGAACACCGGGCGGAACGAGTTCTGGCGCTCCAGATTCTCGTTCTGGGTGTCCAGCTCTTGGACATCGGAACCAACCAGTTTGGCGAACGGCCTTAGAGCGTTGAACATGTTCTCCAGTGCCTCCGAAGATTCCGGCTCCGGTTTGCGGTCACAGTTGCTCAGCTGAAGGGCCACGTTGAATGCCAATTTGGCGCGCACACTGGCGTTTCCGTCGAACAGATCACGTTCAGCCTGGATGCCGTTCTTGGAGGAGCGCTTCTCATCGATGCTGCTATTACTATCGACCACGGTGCTGTCGCTGACGGATGTCGATCCCGATACCGAACTCGATCCCGATCCTGATGTGGATGCAGAGACTGGGGTGCCATCCTCTTTGGACTTGGTCAGGATCTTAGAGAGCTTGCGCAGACTATAGTGCTTGCTGTTGGTGTCGCCTATGGAGGCCTTAGCCAGATTGAGGCTGTTGGCAAAGGACTTCACCGTCTTGGTGAAGCGATCCAGCAGGCCATACTTCTTCAGCGACTCCAGGATCATGTATGGAATGAACTTTCGCTCCTCGTGATAGAGCAGCACGATTCCGTCCGAGCCGGAGCCCGCCTTGGCCTTCAGCTGTTCAAGCCAGTTGAGGAAGTCCTTCAGTGCAGCGATCTCCGACTTGGATTTGATGATCTACAAGGAAATTAAGTTGAAGTTTTTAAAGCTACTATATTATTCACGGTGGGAAAGATAGTAAAGGTAATGCGTTTCTTATTTATGCTATGTTCCGTATGGTGCAATTATATTCAAATGGTCCCAGAAAATCAAATCAAAGATTGATTATTTAACCTGTCTGTACGTTAATTTCCATTATTTTGGACTTTATGGACTTACCTTGTAGGTCTGCATCGACTTCAGCATACGATAAAAACCAATCGAAATAACACGAACTTGATGGCGCTGGCGCGCAGCTGGATTCAGATTCATATATGGCATGATGTACTGCTCGAAGTGATCGGTGGGAGTGTAGGCTGCCAGCTGGACAATCTGGGGGCACAGCGAAAGTGGGGTTAGGTTCGAGTAAGGGTGCTCCACATATCAGGGCACCTACCTCATCGATTAGACGACGTCCAGTGGTGTCTATGTCAACACCCACCAGGATGTAATTGCCGGCCGGGAGTTCGTCCTTGGCGGCCACAGGCGTCGAGGACTGATCGGCAGCAGCAATTTCCACTCCAGCATCGATATTATTGGCAACCATTTTGATCTAGGGGAAGCAATCCAGAAAAAAAAATATACATATGTAAGTATACAATTAGCAGAACTCACTTATATACTTTGTGCTAAAAAGAAACTTTGTTAAACGTGAACCGTGAAGGTTTTTTCTACAAAGTGTCGGGCCCCGAACTTTTAAGTGGTGAACTTAACCGCGATTCTAGAATAACTAACAGATTCCTTCCAGGAGCGCCATTTTGTTTTGCTGCCCACTCTCACAGTATTTTATTCACCATAATCACTTTTGTCACTTTCCTTTTGGACTCACCTTTATTGAACTCCTTTTTTGTGTTGATTTCGACGGGCTCTTTCGCTTTTTACGAACTTTTTCCTTTATTTTTCAAAAGGGTAAAGCGAGATTGGCTTCCGTTCGACGAGCTTTCACAAATAAGAAACAAATCGTACGACTTACTAAAACGAAATGAATTATTTGTTGATGCACCGGCAGTGCTGAAAATTTCAAGAAATTTGTTCAATCGCACAGCCTGCTAATTCACGATTTTACACTTAAGTACGATGGGCATAGAAGCTGCAGTTTGGCGCAAAATGCCACAATGCCCACTGTCCGGCTCTACAAGAAATAATTATATTATTTTTGTTTTAAGTACGGATAATTTACTCGGTTTTTAGCCTAAACAATCTTTGCCAATAATAAGCCGGTGAAACTTGTTGGCCAACAACAAAACAATAAGTTAAAAGAGAATATAAAAATTGATAAGGGAAATAGTGTTGACAAATTTAAAATAATAATAATCGCCTAAGAGTTGCCACCCTCGGGGGCAGGGCTGCCACACTGCCTAGAAAAGAAGCCAGCTGTTACTGTTACTGTGCAGCCCTGGTCCACACACAAACAAAAATCAGCTGCTGCGATTGGGTTTTCTTAAGGTTTTATCAGAAAAAATAGGAAAAACAAGGGAAATAACGCGTCAGGTGAACGAATTATGTTGTACTGATTACACCCGCACACGCACACACATTGGTAAAGATAAAACCCGACGAGATAACACAATCCATAGGTGCCAAACATGCTGTCCTACATAAAGCGCAAGCTTTCCGAGTCCGACAGCGGCGTCAATTCTGGCCCAACAGTGACGTCTACGTGCGGCGGGAGCGGGAGTAGTGGAAGTGGGAGCGCCGCGGGCGGTACGAGCGGTTCGAGCAGCAGCGGTATCAGCACAAGCGGACGCAGCAACAACGCCGACGAGTTAGTGCGCAAAACGAACCAGATGTCGATGGACGAGGAGGCGATTGCCTTCGGCGAGGACGCACTCCTCCACGAACTGGGCTACAGGAATGCCACGGATCTGCAGGAGACCATCTACGGTTTGATTTCCCTTCTTTTTCCCAACAATTGCCACAGAATTATGTAATCATCATCTCTTTCTGCAGATCTGCTGCGCAGCATTCGCGATCCAGAGAAACCGTGCACCTTGGAGGACTTGAACGTCATCTACGAGGATGGGATTTTCGTGATGCCCCCCACGCGCTCAAATGTCTCAGTTGTACGTTTTTCTGTCCCTTCAAAAGTTATTAATTATTTTTTTAGTTAGAAATTAAATTTACATTATGCTGTATGCTTACGTTTTCTTTTAACCTGTTAGAAAATGCAGTATTTACGTTGATTTGGCTGATTTACGTTATATATTTGGATTTATATTCAGTACAAAATGGACAATAATTCTATTATTTATTTGTTGGTTTTTTTAACGTACAACATTTTCTGAAGTACAATATTTGTATTGCCTTTTTTTCTTCAGCATATTAACTTATAAGAATTTTGAAATTCGCAATGTGCTTAAACATTAATATTTATAAGTCTCATTTGATACACTTTCCTAAAAATTAAAAATTTAAATTAAATTCTTATCCACATAAGAAGACTTCATAGATATTTAATTTCGAGAGTTACTAGATTATTTTATTTAATATATAAAAGTAAGATCTCCATTAACTATTTCGTGTAATTATTTCAGGTACGAATCGAATTCAATCCCACAGTGCCCCATTGCTCGCTCGCCACACTTATTGGACTCTGTATACGCGTGAAAGTGGAACGTGGACTGCCGCACAATATAAAACTAGACATATACATCAAAAAGGGAGCCCACCAAACGGAGGAAGAAAGTGAGTTTGACCTGACAAGCAGCTTCAATGGGTTTATTCCATTTAAATTGTACCCTCTCTTGCAGTCAATAAGCAAATCAATGACAAGGAGCGCATCGCTGCGGCCATGGAAAACCCAAATTTGCGGGAGCTGGTCGAAAACTGTATCAAGGATGAAGAGTAGGCTCTCTGCGGTCTGGCTTTGTGTAAATAGGAGATTTTGTCAGGAATGTCTAGGGTTAAGTATACCATTAAGTTGCGTCATGGACTGTGTGCTTAGCATTAAAGCCCTTAAAATCTGTTAATCGCCGGGTTGGGGCGGCGTGATTCCACCTGAATATCGATTGCTTAACGTCCTATCTATTTTCCCCGTTTGTTTACTGATAAGGTCCGGGCTCAACAGCGCTCATTGTTTACATTCTGCCGAAACGATATCGCCGTTGGACATGCGGACGAAGAAAACCGTGTGCACATTGCTGTCATGGCGGGTGAATGAATCCTAATCAAATCGGATTGGAGTGCCGGCCGGCCATGTTGGCCAAGCATATCGTGCACGGATTTATCAGCTCCAGACGAAGAGCCCAAATGCTTTGGGCGGGGCAAAGGTAGTCAACTGTTAAGTTGAGTGCATGACACACATTCGACTCGGCTAATTTCTTTGCAACTCTCCGGTTTCAGTGAGCACTTTGTTTGCCATGACTGCCGCTGTTTCTGCTCCAATTTGCATTTCCGGGGTTTTTCATTTGTTAAATTGCACTGCATTTCCGCTCGCTCCCCACAAATATTTTAGCAATATCAATTAGTTGCTTGCCTTCGCGTTCAAGTGCTTTAAACTAATTTCCAAAGACCTGCGCAAAAAACATCCCGACAAGCAATTAAAACCATCTGCCGCTGTAAACTTTTTGCCATGACACTGCCGGCCAATATGGATGGCATGGGAACTGGGCAATCCCCTCCTTGTCCGTCGTCCCTGAGGCGTGCTGGTGTCTCAAAGAACGAAGGAAAAATAACAAAAATGAATACGCAGACAAAAGCATATTGCGAATATTACGCTAATTGGTGACTGCAATCAAAGCGGACCACGACCTGGACACGTTGGCGGGAGAAATAGGAGAGGTCATGTTGGGGGGAGCTGAGACTTTGAGCCTCCCGGCAGCAGTGACTTCAGTCTGACCGTGACCAAGCTATCGGTGTAGCCTCTACACCAGCTCGCTCGTGATGATTTCAGGTAAGCAGTAATTGGAAACAGGCTGTGCAGAACGTTAGATGGTATATCGTATTTCGGAACACGAGTATATTTTAGCCACAGAGTAAAAGAAATCGAATAGTAGTCTAGTCTAGTCTTAATTGAGACAAATGTTGATGACAGAAAATGTTTTCCTGTGTTGCATTTAAAAATGTTTATTGTTCTCAGCAAAATCAAAAGATATTTCTAAATGATGTTTAGCTATTATATAAAGATGGGTTTTATTAAAACCAATACCACAAGGAATGAAATGAGGAAATTTTTTTTGCAATAAATAATCGACAAGAAAGTTGATTTTTCTTTCTTTTTTTTTAAGAATGTTTTTTTTTACAATTTTTTCTTAGTTATCAATGTTAGTTCACTAGCTTTTTTTGCCACATCTAAATTTTCAGTGATTCATCTGACCCAGGACTTTTATTTGAAACCGCGTGGCAACAAAAATCGGCACCTTCTCCTTTATTGCAAGTGAGTGAGATATTTAGATTCTTTAAGCTGCAACCTGTTGTATTCATTTAGGCGACCGCTGGCCAGATTGTCGCGGTTGCACTTTAATAACCACTTGGTTGATGGATGCACGCAGACACCTATGCATTCTTGGAGCTGCGCCATGATGACTCAGTTGATGACACCGGCGATGCCGCAGGAAAGACTCATGGGAAACCCGACTGCGACAGAATTTTATGTGCAAAAAATGCATAATTTATTCTGTTAATGCATATGCATTTAAGCCAGGCCAACAACTGCAGCAATTCCCCAGGATTTGCTGACCGGCAATTGTCATTTGTGCAGCGGTCAAAGTGACCCATTTAAACGGTCTGCAGTGGCCCGGTGCCCCGCCCCTTGCTCGGCCACCGCCCTCGGGTCGAGTACATAAGTAGGCAAATGCAATGAGTCCGGGTTCAAGGCACTGCCGCCCGAAGACGGGAGGCACAGATTGCGGCCACCGAGATTTCCTTCCGATATGCAATGCTGTTAAATTGTGTGCCATTATTATGATTGCCGTCGTGACGGCTGGGATCCGGACGGAGTGCACAGGATGCCGGAGCCACGACCGTCTGTGGAGTTGCATTCACACATTGTTCGGTGGCTCCGGGTCTCCGCATATGTCATGTATTTCATTATGAGTCTCCATCTCTGTGCCCCTGGCTTCTTGGGTTGTGGCAAGGCCAAATGTGAGGGTATTGTCAGTTCCTGCCAGGCCATATAACCAGTCAAAGGATGGTTACATTGCGAAGTCGAAATGATGAACTATAGAACTAGCACAAACAAATTTGTTATCTAAAAGTAAAATTTTGTTTTATAGAATTAATTGTCGATCTTATAAAATTGTTTCCATATTTTGAAAACTTTTTTAAGACTTTGGAAATGATAACAGATTTAAAGACCATGATAAAGTTTATAGCAAGCTACGTTCCAAAATAGAAATGTTTCTCTATTTTTTTAAGGCCTTAAGCATTGTGTGTTTCAATTCTTTAAGTTATAAAAGATTCTTCCGATTTGAAAAAAACACTATTTCGATTTGTATGCAACAATAAGTAAATATGTACATATATATGATAGCAGATCGTTCCTTTGATTAACGTGTATATTTTATGGTAATTTTAAAATGAATGCTGAGCTATGCAGAACTTGTACATTCTCAACTAAAAATAAACTCAAATTAAAGGATTACAAAAATTGAATGTAAGCAATAAAAAACCTCCTTAACTCCGTACTGCATATACTTTAATCCAGTAAAATGTTGTTGTTTTTCCGAGCTCGCAGCCATTTGACTTCCTATTTTTTCAGGTGGCTGGCAGCTCGCGTGGTTACAACCAATTGTTTTAATTGTTCCAGCCACCGCAGTTGGGGCCCAGCTCCTTGAAACCGGAAGTAACACTCAATGGCGTAAAGCTGCCCACGGGCTTACCCGGCGTATGCGCATTATGCAAAGTCCTGGTCAGTGGTAAAAGCCACGCCTCGCACAATGTGGGTGTTGGGAGGTTGGAGGCTGGAGGTTGGAGATTGAAGGTTGGAGGCTCAGGATGACCGACAAGGGGACTTGGCCATTCAGCAACTGACAACTTACGCATCAGCAGGCGGGGTTCCGGAGATCGGGGTCCAGTGTCCGGGTCCGGATCCAAAGTGCAGCGGACTGGATCTCTGTCTGAGCCGGAGAAAGAGGTGGGGAAAGGAAGAGGCTTTTTGTTGTTTGCACTGCCATTAATTTCTGCTGCACTCGGCTTGCCATTTATTTTGTACGTAAAATGTGCCATCCTTATGAGTTGCCGGCAAAGCCATTCTGTCTCTGTGCTGCCTCTTGGCTAAGGATTATTTAACCCTTTGGTTTTAAACGTTGCCATTGGGCTTTATTTCTTTAAAAAATCAATACGATACTTACGCTCTACAGAAAATAAAAATGTTGTTCTCTAAATCATTGCATTTTATAATTATAAGTAATAGATAGAATAATAATAATGACGACCTTAATCATTTTTAAACCTCAATAAGAGACCTTCGTACTCTTTCGCTAACAACCAATACAAAAAAAAATTAAATTTTTTGGAACAAAATATTTAATAATAAAATAATGGCGCTTAAAAAATACGTGTAGTTCTCCTGTTATTTTGGTTTAAAAACGATTAATATTATAATTTTTAACTTTGAAGTACATTTAGGGTTGCTTCGGTATTTGCGATCCGAAGTTAACTAGAAAAGTATTTAATCAACGTTAAAAATTAAAGATAAACTTTTGTACCGCATTGCAATAAACTGAATATTTGTGATATATATAAGCTTGAATATATCCCACCTTGCCATTGCTTTCAACTGGGGAATAAGCCAAATTAAAAATGTTTACTTTACCTCGACTTGTGTATAGTGGGTTAAAGGACGAGGGCCTACCTCATTCTACCGAGAATGAAGCGCCTGCCAAGCGGAAGTGGTCGCGTGCGTTGCATCCTGTCGGCAATTATGCCGCAGCAGCAACAACAATTACAGTTACAGCTGTTACCGCTCCTCAACCCCCCCACTCCCCCGGTTCCATTCACGATTTACCCCTTGTTCGCCCGGTTGTAAGCCATTTTAATTGCTTGTCTCTTTTTAATTTTCAGCTCTTTTGTTATACTTCACCCTTTGGCCGCGCATCCCACCTGGCACATATACCCATACTCTATTTGTATATATACACGTAGCCTTTGTCCGTTCTGAGTCCGTTCTTCGCCTCAAGTTGACATTTTTGCTGGCCCTGCTGTGACTTCTGGCCAAGAGGTCGCCGCTCCTTGGGCCCGAGGGCTTTTTGCTGTTGACCATTTGCCGGAGCTAACGAACTAATGCTGAATGCACAGCAAGTGCCATTTGAGCTTCCGCCAGCTCATTGGCCAGAAGACGCCTGCAACAGCAATTAACAAAGGTGCAGGCAGGACCCCCTTTGTCCGCTTCCCCCTCCCCTCTTTGGAGCAGACAATTGTCCTGGATCCGGAATCGGATTCGGATTCGGAATGGTGTCCGATGGCAGCTAAAACGTGTGTAATCAGAGCATAATTGTCTAAAATAGCTCGGCACTTGCTGGCTGCCGTGAAACGGTTGCGTTTGTTTTCCTGCTCGAGAACACATCTAAAATCGATTAAGTTTTCAGGCGTAATGAAGCTTGAAGGCATTGAAAATTAAGCAAGTCAACAACTTTAAGTTCTTAAAGTCCCAAATATTGTTTAATCTTTCTGTATCTGAATTTTTGTTTGGTTTAAAAAGTATTTGACCTAATTGGTATCAAATTTATTTGACCCAATTTGTTTTCCCAGCTAATTAATTGCTGTAGTCTTTAAATAACAAGCAATTTTACAGTTTTAAAAAAAAGGCTTTTGCCCCAATTATAACAATTCTAATAAAACATTTGTGTACTTTTAATTAAAACACCTGTACTTTAATTGGTTACTGCAATTGTTACGATAAATGAATGCCTAATAAATGGATGATAAAATAAACAGCGTTATACTAAAAGTTTAAAATGTATTTTATTGCATTTGCTTGCATTTATATATTCATAATATATTATTACCAATTACCTAGTTATTAATGCCTATTAAAACAATCTTTACACAAACAACTCGCATT